AAGTATATTGGAATATATTCACTTCTATACAGCATATAACATAGTGAGAGACTGTCGTTAGTAATAATAATAGCTTATTATCATTATTATTAATTACCACCGAATCACTGCAAATGTAAACAAAATAGATATATGTAACTAACTGCAGCAATCTTTCAGTGTATTGATTTAGCCATATTACTATACTCAACATGAATCTTTATTTCATCAACTTAAATAGACTAAACTGTCTATTGTAATTCAATGATGCTGGTTACTAATATTACAGCTTAGTTAGTAAACAGATTTGAAATGAAAAAAAATCAACTCGAACGACAATCATATTAGTAATAATGGTCATAATAGCTCTGATAAATATGCTCCATTTGTTTTTAAAACACTCGGTAGTTGTTATGATGATGACTGTGAATGTATGGATATCTCTCATATTTATGAGTATGTCAGTGTTTAGTTGTGTGTGTGTTATGTGCTTATATCCAGTAGGTTTACAGGAATCCAGTAACGTTTGTTTTATTAATCAAATAAACAGTAATAGCTTTTCACAATTCATTGATCACTGGGTGGTGATCAATGTCATGTGTGTCAAGTCCCTATTCAGTGCAGATCAATTGCTATCGTCCATGTTGCAACGTGACCATTAGTCTAGGTGACTCGACACTGCGTGCACTATAAATTGAGATTAGATGCTGGTTGGAGGTGATAGATAGGAAACCCTGGACCCGGGTTTCGTGCTACATGGCACTCGTCAGCAAGGTGTACTTGTAATCTTGAGGTAACTGGTGCTCCCTGACGGACTTGATCCCGTGTTACTTAAATTCATAGTCAGAGATGTTACCACTAAGCTATCCCGGCCGCGGCCGGCCTCCTGTAGTAATGAGATGTAATAACAGTTGATTGAGCACTGGGTGGTGACCAATATCATGTGCAGATCGAATGTTACCGATCAAGTTGTAATTTGGCCACCAGTCTAGGTGACCTGACACTGCGTGCACTATCCGCCAGGGAGCACTAGTTCCCCCGATATTACAGGTAAACCTTGCTGACAAGTGCCATGTAGCACGAAACCTGGGTCCAGGGTTTCCTGTCAACTACCCCCGACCATCAGTAAAAACGTTTTTTCTGATGTAACGTTATTTATTGAATTTATAGAGGAAATGTTTTCAGTCTCATGAAAGTGATACATTGAATAAAAATAGGAATTTCCGAATTAAACTATAAAGATCACGGAATGCTAAAAATTGTGATGGACTTTTGTTCTCTGAGCTGGATGGCTGTCCATGAAGCTTTTATCGTTCTTCTGAATGACATTATATGATGCCCCTGTAGTTATCACAGTTGCTGAGATCACCTTCCTTCGGTACTTTGTCCAGAAGACCTTCTTTCTAGTCTGTTGGTACTTGTTCCTCATCCCAAATCTTATTGAAGAGAATGTGGAGTATCCCTGCAGTTACCACTACGTCTGCCTTCAGTGCCTCTGCTGGGATGTTGTCTCGTCCTGCCGGTTTGCCACTCTTAATTTTTCTGATGGACATGCTGGTCTGTTCAATTGTTGGTGGTCCATGGGTGCTACTTCGATGTTGGCTGGATTCAGTGGGGCTGGTCGATTCAAGAATTCTTTGAAGTGTTCTACCCACCTGTTTCGTTGTTCTTCAATGTTGTTGATTACCTTGCCTTCCTCGCTTTTCATTGGCTGTTCTGGTTTAAGATAATTTCCAGAGAGTTTCTTTGTTGTGTCATACAATTGTTTCATGTTTTCTTCTCTTGCAGCCTTTTCTACCGTCATTGACAGATCTTCCATATATTTACGTTTGTTGGCTTCAGTGCTCTTCTTCGCTTGCTTATTTGCTCTTATGTATTCAGCTTGTGCCTTGGCTTTTTCTGCTCTTGTTCGACTGGTATTGATTGCTGCCTTCTTGTTCCTTCTTTCTTGAATCTTATCCAGTGTATCAACAGTGATCCATTCCTTGTGATGGTGCATCTTGTGGCTCAGAACCTTATGATATGTTGAAGTGATTGCCTCTTTTATCCCTTCCAGTTGCTTTCCATAGTAGTTCCTTCTCCATTGAGTAGACCATGAAAGGGCTGGAACCTGTTGCTGAGATCTATCTTGAATCTGTTGAAATTGTCAGTATCCTGACGAAAAGCCGTATTAAACTTCTGTGATGTTGTCCGCGCTGTTGTCCAGTACATCTTGATTTTCAATTTCATCTTGGCGACCAGCAAGTGATGATCTGATGCTATATCAGCTCCTCTCTTGGTTCTCATATCCTCCATCGTCCTCCTGAACGTTTTGTTGGTGCAAATATGGTCGATTTGGTTTTGCGTAGTGTGATGCAGTGAAGTCAATGTGGTTTTTATGTGAGATTATGGTGCCGCCTATGACCAGTTTATTGAAGGCACATAGATTTGCGAATCTCACCATTTTCGTTCCTTTTTCCCAGTCCGTGTCGTCCCATGATGTCTCCATATCCGGTGTTGTCCATTCCAATCTTGTCATTGAAATTTCCCATCAGAATGGTCAGGTCCTTTATTGGGTACGTCTCGACGATTGACTGCAGCCTACTGTAGAATTGATTTTCAACGTCCTCACTGTAGTCGTTAGTAGGCGCATAGCATTGGATGATGTTCATTCAAATGCTCTTTTTCTTTGTTTTGAAGGGGGATTAGTTGATCCTGGGTTCATGAGATTCCCATCCTATAAGTGTATTTTATGCTTGTTTGGACAGCATGAATGCAACTCCTTGTGTATGTGGGGCATTTTCTTAATCTTTTCTTCACTCTTCCACTCGTCTGACTAGGTATTCGCAACTCAGTGAAAGCTGACATTGGATACACTGCAGCTCAGCTAGTTTATGGAACGACACTTTGACTTCCAGGAGAATTCGTGGATCCTTCATCTTCTTCAATGAACATGAATCTAACCTCCTACACAAGCAGGCTTACAAACGCAATGCGTTCAGTTAAACCGGTTTCAACTCGACTGCAATCAACTGGTGTTTTCGTTCAACCTGACTTGTGATATAGTACACAAGTCTTCGCACGTCGGGACTCACATCGACGACCTGTCGAAACAGCATACGAAGGACCCTTCAAAGTTCTTCAGTGCGAACCTAATTAATACATAGTGGATAAGAGCGGAACCAACAATGGCATCAGCATCGACCGCATCAAAGCAGAGTATTTAGAAGGAACTCCTAACCACGTCGAATTCCCATCGGCACAATCAAAAGACACGGCTCCTACACTTATAACACCTCATCCGACAGCCAACATTCACGTTGATACTTCGGCAGTATCTGAAAATAGACTCGAAACAAAACGTTCTGGAAGAAGAGTAAGGGATCCAGGACATTTAGAAGATTATTGCACGTAAGACATCAGTTAACAGTTTGCTTCATATAGGTTTCCCCTTGTATTACATATAATAAAAAAATTTAATATGCCTATACTGATATATTTATCCCAAAAGAAACAAACAAAATTCTTTTTGCTAGTATGTGTATATTTGATTTTTTTTTTCTTAAAAAATAACCAAAAAGCTATTCTGTAAAAATCGTTTTTTACGCTGTTGCACGTGCATGAGTTTATTTTCGTTTTTTGCCCACTTTGTGTCTTTATGTGCACGGGTGGAAAAGACCGAAAATGATCGACGGAGATAACAATGAACCGAAATTTTCATTGTACCTTGTACTACATGGTCCCTTATAGTAAGCAAGGATGACCAGACGCTGTTAAACCTAGCAAGCTATCAGAAGAGTGTTTACTAACGACAATCTCGTTGGGTTTAAACTGCTGGCTGACCTTGTCTTAGGGTCATCACTACCCCACTGGGGGGGGTAATCTGTAGCAGTAAATAAATCCCCAGAGTTAATAGCTCTGTAAATCTTCAACAGTGGATGCTGACCACACTAGTTTTAATGGACTCACCTAGCTGAAAGCGCTCTGTCATACATCCGCACCAGATCACGAGTGAGAATCCCGTGCTCAACATTCCCTGCAATCGCTAGCCAGATTAGATCAGTCGATCCTCGATATATTGATAACCTATCAAATATATCTTCGAACCTCCTCGCTTCTGTCTCTTGATTTCACTTGGTGGGTAAGATTCATATTAGAAGGTGTTACTGGTTAAAGCGTTGTCGAACTCCGAATACCTGTGGCATCTTCGTAGCCAAGACAGTAAACAAATCAACTCAAGTCCTGACATATGATACAAGGAAAAGTCTAACAAAAATTAATTCGGTTGAAGTTCCGTGACAATAATTTCTACAAATAATCTATCGGAAACACTAAATTCGCTCTGCGAGGAGAATATCACTGCACATTCAAGTAACACGAGGTAGCTTTTTAATTTGATCTAGTATGAATACCTTCAGCTAGTGGCATATCACGTAAAACCAGCACTCCAGATATCTATATTAGATATTTTTATGCTGCTTGCTTTTGGAGAATTTTTTGTCCTCACAACTCATCTCACTGATATTGTTCTGAGGATCACAAAACATGACAAGCCAGCGGTTTACGCATAGGGTATTTGGGATCGGTTAAAAATCTGATAGTTTATCACTCCAGAACCATTCCGTCTACCAAAGGAAGGATATATCACTAGTACATCTCAGCACTAAACACACTTTTATTTGCTGTAGGACAAGAAGGAGCTCAATCAAAAGGATAACTAAACTATTACGCCCTTGAGTTTATAGTTCCATAATGTGATCCACGGCTACTAGATACGGAAGCCATTTACGCGAAAGATTATTCTATTCAGTCTATAACCATCCGGAATACCACGTGAATTGTTTGTTGATTGCTTTGATTATTAACTGTAAGTGCATCGTGAGCGCTTTTGAGTATACCCTACTTTCCAACCGTCATCACTCATATCAGTCTGTATCCTCCCATAACACACGAAGTACATTCTGGTTAGACACAAGATACCATACTAGATCCCATAGAACAAAAGTTCACTAATTCTACCAAGTAAAGTTGAAAATTGAAACTGACTTATGACTTAGGGGAAGATTCCAGTGTCGCGTTACATCCTGTAAGTTGCTTGCAATTGTGATTATACTTCGTATTATATTTCGATCCGCTAAAAGCGATTTGAATCCCATTCCAAGAGACATTCGTACACAGAGTTTTAAAATTTCTGGACCGAATTTTTTTATACTCTTTATTTCCTTCTAAATGCTACCACATTTAGTCCTAGATGAAGACAACTAGTCCTGCATATCCCAAATAAATAAAGGAGGAAAATAAGGGTGAACTTAAGGGAAATTCTGGGGATATACTCGAGAAAGTTCATGGTAAGTATGTAGGCAACGATAAACCACCTTTTCCTACAGGCCCGGGTAAATAGTGCACCTTTTCCCCAAAGTTTTTCCCTTAAGCAGGAACGTTTCGAAATAAACACCCTTACCTTCTTAGGATGCCCACCCTTTTGCAAAGAAACATACATTTGTGTACTTTTCTACAGAACTAACACTGACTTTCCTGCTCCCCAAAATGAACACCTATTTGTTTACTATTTTTCTGAGTAACACTAAATTTCCACAATATTAACATTTAAAATAATCGGCTTTTCGTAAAATGCGATGGAGTAGTTTGTTGCTGCTTTAATTCTTGGGAAACTCGCCCTAAATTCCCCAGGGCAGCCAAATTATTCGCGCGCTCAACATGAATCAAAATAGTGATTTATATCAGAACAACTTATGAACAATTTTTACATAAGCAATTGTCAACAATATCTAAATCGGCTGAAAAAGTGGGAATTAGCGTTTTAAGTGACAGGAAAGTTATCTTCAACCATAAATCATGGAAAGGAAATAGGTAATGCGAGGTTTAAACGACATTCACTTAACAAAATCGGATAATACTGTAGGAAATTACTGCAACTACAGCATTGTCAATGTGGAGCAGCGTTTTCGTCACTTGAGTCGTGAAACGGTACAGCAATCGATAGTTACGCATGTGATTTTACGAAATGTTCGTTGCAAGTTTGTCATAAAATAAGACAGGAATTGCGGCGATATTACGGAGCTAATGCTATAAACAAAGGTCGACGGAAAAAAACTTGGGATATTCCATTCGACTGTGCCTAGCTTGCACTTCGGCGACATCCAGGTGGACAGAATCATACAAGTAATCTGACGGCAATGGGCCGTCGTCTTAAAATCATTACTCACTGTCACCCCTAGATCCTTATGAGACCGGAATACGGGTAATGACACATCCCCTATGTTGTATGTATTAACCTTTGAATCCCCCAAGTACATGCAGATACACTTCTCCGCGTTGATAGGCATCAGCCACTCTTTAGACCAGTTTATCATATTATTTAAGTCTGCCTGAAGAGTAAATGCGTCTCTGTCTCCAGTTATTACTCGCCAAATTTTTACATCGTCAGCGTACAATAACATTGGAGACTGTACTATACTTGTAAGATCATTAACGTACATTATAAAAAGTAAAGGACCTAGGACTGAACCTTGGGGTACTCCACTAAGTACTGGTCTCCAGATGGAGCACTTGGAATTTATTCTTACTTTTTGTCTACGACCTACTAGGAAATCCTTAATCCATTTTACAAGAGGTCCGGCAATACCAAGGTTTTCCAGCTTCATTAGCAGTCTATTTGTTGGCACCTTGTCAAAAGCCTTACTGAAGTCTATGTAGACAACATCCACTGAGTTTCCTTTGTCTAGCGCATTAATCCAGAACTCCCTTGCTATAAGGAGGTTCGTTGTGCAGGATAGACCCTTTCTAAAACCATGTTGTGTCATGTTCAGCAAGTTATTGGTTTCCATAAATGCCGTTATGGTCCGTTCGATTATTCTTTCCAGTATTTTAATTACCACACTGGCGAGGCTTACGGGTCTGTAATTCGATGGAACTTGTCGTGGACCTGTTTTATGTATGGGAGTGACGATTGCGTCCTTCCAGTCCATAGGTAACACACCTTGGTCAAGTGACATATTGAATATCACAGTCAGTGGGGCCGCGATATATTGGGCAATATGTTTCAAGATTTTAGGGTGTAGTTCATCTGATCCTGTTGACTTCTCCATGTTTAGGGTGCTAAGAGCCTTAAGTACATCGTTTTGATCGAAGTCCACGGTGAGCAGTTGGTTTGTTGACTCTAGTCCGGGCTTGTCTTCATCAGTAATGTGCTTTGGTGAATAGATGTTGTTAACTAGGTGCTCTGCGCTGTATGTTTATGTGCCCAATAGTTATCCGTCAACCGGGAAGTTTACACTTCTCAACATGACTTAAAATGACAGCCAGTAATGTTACAAACCAGTTCAACCCTTTTCTGTTTGTACTTAACCTCTTCAACTGTTTTTTAGCCAGCATCGTACATCAAGATAGGCAGTGACTAGTTATATGAAATGCATGTTTTAGCTAACTTGGTCGATAAATTTCATTTGTTTGACTAATTTATTTATTTATTTATTTGAACACACAAATATTGGTACAAGGAGACACCAAATATATATATGCGCAACACTTGTGTGAGGGCTGTGATACTGCCCGGGTGCCCAGACAAGCAGGTGGTTTTCTTAGGGGGCCACACTCCGAGCCTTTGACCTAAAGGTCTAACCCACAAGGCAGTGGAGCATCGTGAGGAGATGCAGTCTCATGGTAGCCGGTGACCAACGATTGGTTCATACGCCGTTTGTTCCTTCAGGATACTGTAGCCCATGTGCACCATTGGTTTGGAATCCGGTTAAAGCGCCGGATATTCGATTTTCGTCCTCTCATTTTCGTAAACAACAGTAGTGCCACGAGGAGGCAGTGAGTAGGACTTCCCTGGCAGAGGCTGTATACGCGTGGCCATGTGAGAGCATTTGGAGAGGGAGGGCGGGCTCACCCCACTCTCTGCCATACCAGGGCATTTGTTTGACTAACCGACTTATCGTATGAACTTAATAGTTATGCCACATTTCAGCACTCATTTCTATGCTTTCACCATACTTCAACAACTTAAAGGATATGTCTCATCATACACTAGTAATCCACATGTATTTTACCTTCAAGCCATTACTTAACGTGGTAAAAGCTGCTTACAATGTAAATTATTTTCATTATTTATAGTAATGATTGCGGTTTTATTGAATTTGATTTCAATCTTATATATGAATTGTTTTCATTAACTCTTACTACTGTCTTACTGAATTCCAGGTTACGTCACAATCTCTTGTTTTATTAGTTGTTTAAAATATGTCGTTAGCTGACGAACTTTTGGCTGATCTCGAAGGAGCTGAAACATCTGAAGAATTAATAACTGACTCAAATTTACACGAACTAGAGGATGTTACTATGTTAAGTGTAACCAAATCAGACGATTTTCAGTCCAATGGATCAGCTTCAGGATTTAAAAATATATTTAAAACCGCTTCTTCTTTTGCTGATGCTCCGATAACGGCTTATGCCAAGTTAAGAAATAGTGATAGAGTAAGTACTTGCTATGAAAAAAAGTAAATTATCGTTTTGTTCGGCATATTGTAACTTTTTCTGATCATGGATAGAGATTCTATCTTAGTTTCATAACTTTTTATACCAGTAATAAAATAGCTAAAAAAATATAGGAGAATAATATAGTATTCATTTTAAATTGGTTTTGTGTCTATAGTTCAGGTACTGAATTTTCAATTATTAGGGCCTACTTCAATTCTCACAATTTATTTAATCCAGTATTGCTCGAAGGTGTAGTTTAGTTTGGTTGTCAAACTAGTATATAGTTTCTGAATAGTGTGTATAATCTGAACATTGAATTGTCCAGGCGGGAAATTCGGGTATAATAGAAGCTTTAAAGTGATTATACGGAAATACAATATCAAGTTATAAGGTCTGCTGATGTAAGTTATTGCAAAATTAGACCTTGGAGCTCCCCCTACTAATAGTAATGTCCGATGTATATCCGTCGTTCAGTAACTGAATTTCATTTAACACCTGTCAAATAAATATGTGGAATGAAATCTTTGGGTTTTAAGTCATGGAAATAACTAAAATGTCAGAAAATTAATGAGGTATTCGAGAGTGTGTTTGAAGATTGCGGATTAAGGGAAACAGCTCTTTCCAAACAGATCAAATGTTTCAATGAAGTACACAAAGACAGTAGGTATATTAGAAAACTAGAATGACTCTCAACCCCTGTGTTTATCAATACACCGAAAGTATGTTCTCTCTTGTCTTTTCATGTAACCAATTCACTGTAAAGATAATTCTTGATTAATAGTATTTGGAAATGTTTCGTGAACATAGTTTTAGCAAAGGATGAGTGGAGACAACATTTTAAGACCCCGACTCCTAAAAGTATTTTGAACAATAGGAATCTAATTAGGGGGATGTATATTGTTACAAATGGGAAGCATCTTAAAGGGGAATAAGATTGACAAACTCCATATTTTGTAAAATGAGGTTTTTACAACCTGATTTCACATTTTTATTAGACAGATTGCGTAAAATCACCGTCTGAATTTTATCCAACCACTTCTATATGTAAGTATAATGTATCCAAGTCACTGAAAAATAACAGTTACATGTGTTAAACAAAGGTAATGAGCGAAAGTGAATGGCGTTGTTTGAATGCATTATTTTTCTTTACTTATTTTTTTTTCAAAAGAATTTACTCACTAGGTGAACTACTGAATGTATTTATATTACTTTATTCACTCTCTAATCTTTGCGTAAATTACTTCTGTCTCCAAATCTCCATTTTCTTCATGATATTTTCAGTTAACCAATGTTATGGCGGATCTTGATCGTTTTGCGAAACAAAAGAAACGTGATCGAATTCATGGTCCTGTTGAAGCTGATCCAGAATATCAATGTATTGTCGAAGCTAATAATCTTATGGTGGAAATTGACAATGAAATTAGTAGGTGTCTTCTGTAAGATTTTTTTGCTTATTGAAAAGGAGAAATGACACTATGCATAAACGGATCTGTTGGGCTACAAGCCTTATGTATTCGTCATGTCACAAACGCTTATAGTAATGTATTGATCGAGCTGGCGCTGTGGTTAAACATTTATTGGTTGAAATTTAAACCACTAAATCACGGGTATGAGTTCCACCTCAAGAAAAACTAAACTACTGTTTCATCCGTCTAACAATTAGTCCGTAAATCTGCACACACTGAGTTACATTAGTGGTTTATATTTGAGATTGTTAGGTTACTCCTCATTATTAGAGTATCTGCACTAGCAGGACGCTTAAATTGTGATTTAAGGTTACTTGATTATAATTGAGGTGATTAGGTGTTATGTATACCCAACAACTCTCCTCTTCGATTCACGTTATTGGCTGACATGTTGGTAGTTTTTAATAGGGATAGAGACGGCCAAGCAAAGATTTGGCATCAGTCCGCGAAGTTTTCGAATGTCAATCTAAGCCATGTTGGTAGATATGAATTACATGTTTGGGGTCTTTAGGATTGCCATAACCAGTGGTTGGGGGCATTGGGTAACATAACTGGGAATCAGTTCAATTGGTGCGGATACATTAAATGAAAAATATAGTAATAATAATAACAGTATTAACCAGGAATGCTGAAAAGTATGATTAAAAAAACTGTGATACAATTTCCAACATTTAAGTAATGATTAAAGTTGATGGTAAATTTTCGTAAACTGTTAATGATTTGTTCTAAAATGGAATTTTTCTTTTTATTTAACTAGATATTATTCATAAATATGTTAGAGATCTATATTCAATGCGATTCCCTGAACTTGAATCTCTCGTACCAGGTCTTCTGGATTATTTGAAAATTGTACTGGTAAGCTGATTTACTTTTGCATATGTATGTTATCCATTTAGCCTTCTTGTACGCCCATGAAATGTGGAGCTCGCTTTGCACCAATCAGATCAACTGCCTTTACATTTACCGATAAAACAAATAACCACCAATAGAGACTGAAAATCCGAGCTGCTGTTGGTTCACTCAGCTCCCATTATTACCATTTACCAATGAGAACACGAAGATACCAGGCAGATTTACCTATTGTATTCTATTTATTATGCCTGGAAAAATTAAACGATCATATACTCTGATTACACGAATATCACTCAGTATAAATAAGAAATCACGATCTGTAAATAATCAGATCATTTGTTGTGCACAATTGAGTAATAGATGGAAGTCTTTTTATCAAATTCATCAAATCTAGATGAACGTCTTTCTAACAACTCCCAACTAGGACGAAACATAGTTCACATAAGTTTTCTTCCCGACTACCTCTAATCGCCTAAAATGACTGCTTAATGAATTACTTCGTTTCAAGTGAGCAATCTATATCATTACTTATTTTTTCCTAAATTTTCAATTTTTTTTAAAAGGTTTTAGGAAATGATATACTTGAACGTTCCAAACAAACAGATCTACTTGCTTCTTTTCTAACTCCAGCGACAATTATGGTTGTATCAGTCACTGCATCAACCACTCAAGGGTCATCTTTAACATCAGATCAATTATCACGTATTATTGAAGCATGTACTATGGCAATTGAATTACAAGAAATGCGTGTTACAATGTTAGCTTATGTAGAATCACGCATGTCATTTATCGCTGCAAATACTAGCATTCTAGTAGGTGCATCAACAGCAGCGAAATTAATGGGTAAGAGTAATTTATGCATAATTTTTCCCTGATTTTTATTTGTTTCAAGTGATGTGTAAAATATGTTTGGGTTAAGTTGTTTTTTGAGCTAAAATGACCGACTGACAGATAACAATTCATTTGATGAGTGAATAGAAAGATTTAAGATCAAGGATTATACTTTAGTTGATATTTAAATGATTCTAATAGAATTTTCCGAATTAGCAGCTGATTGTTGATAATTACAGAGATCACTAGTCGAGTTAATTTAAACAACTACTAAAAACTTTGGAGCTTTAGACAGCTGTTTCATTTTTGTATTGAACTCTAGCAATACACATCCACAACCCCAACAGAGATCGAACGCGGGACCTTCAGGTTGCGCGATGAGCTGTAGATCACCAAGCCGTGATCCAATGGTTTACATGTATATCACTTCAGTCAGTTCACAATATTGTGTGGTCATCTTTAATTACCTTAGTTGGGTGACTGACTCATACCCGACATGGTTGAGCTCCACTGGTTTTGACTTTTCACTAGAACGCTATTGGATTGCGGCTCAATGATCTAGAGGTTAAGCGGTCGCGTGCGAGACAGGTCTTGGGTTTGAACCCCGGTGAAGTGGTTTTAAATGCCCACTGTTAGGGGGTCCTATAGTGGGACAAGACGACTGCTCAGTAGTTTTCTAACTTGGGTCAGCTTTTGATCTCAATAACAAATATTCCATTTGTCATAAAGGATGGTTATTAACAGTGATTCCCTATTATTCATCATTTCTTTGTTAAAAAATAGGTCATGCTGGTGGTCTAACTGCACTTACTAAAATGCCATCGTGTAATATACTTGTGCTGGGTGCACAAAAGCGTCTATTGTCCGGATTTAGTAATACATCAGTTCTACCACATACAGGTTACATTTTCAATTCAGAAATTGTGCAAAAATTACCTCCAGATTTACGGCTTAAAGCTGCTCGATTGATAGCGAATAAAGTGGCGTTGGCAGCACGAGTAGATTTATTTCATGAATCTCCTGTAAGTTTCTTTTCTTTTTTTATAAAAGAGGATTAGTTAGAAGGATAGTTACTCCTAGATCGAAACATGATGTCACTCTGTGGAGTCATTGATTGAGTTTGGTAGATGCATACCACATGATTGGGGTCAGTGTTGTTACCGTAAGCAACGTCTGGAGACGTTAGGTGATATGGCTCAGAATCGGTCACAATGGGACAGTATCCATTTAAAAGGACGGGAGTAGAAGAGTGAGTGAGGGGCACATTAATAAGGGCGATCATCAAAAATGCACATTTTAATAAAGATGAACATTAAAAGAGATAATATCATTTTTAATAGTGTGAAATATGTTCAACTTACCCTCTGTTTTGGAAGACCTTCCTAAAACTAATAATGTAGTCGAGAGGTGGTGGTATAGAGGCTTTAGCCAACTTATCAGTAGCGCTAATCCAAGTATATGGAAATTTATTAGTGCTTTGAAAAGGGAATAGTTTAAATAAATTGAAAATTAAACAGTCTGTTGTGGAAACCCGGCAACAGCACTTGGAAAGCAAGTATAAGGAGATAACAATATGTATCAAACTGGTTGCAGAACACAACGAAAGCATCGAAACTAGACTTTCCACTTGGAATAGCAAACAATTTCAATATATACACCTAAAAATCTCAAACTATGTTATGAAAATTCCATAATATAACATTTACACCTATATTAAATTGATGTTACCCCCTTACGATTTATTATATTCACTCAGTTAATATATTGTCAGGATTATTTTACTGTTGAAAGTAAATCGCCATTTTAAATTGAGGAGTTACCATGTTTGGGTCCGAATTTTAAATGTCTAAGTAGCTTACCTACTTATGCCTATTACACAATTTCAAGGTTCAAAAATTGACAGTGTAATGTGAGAAAAATAAAAATAATGAAATAAAAAGAAATATGTGGAAGACAATCGCCCAGTTGAGGAGTATAATAAAGATGAAGAGTAGATTAAAAATATGAAGGTGTTAATAACAAATGACTAAAAATTATTGTCAGAAGGGGTTTTGTGGAGTTTGTAGTAATTTCAATAGTTGAGATCATGAGTCAATTGAGGCTAGACCACCATGGAAAACCTGAATGGCCGTTTCTTCCTATTGTGGTACTCAGCAATGCGAAACAGTGATCAGTGGAGTTCAACAGGGTTTGTTGTGAGATAGTAACTCACTGATGACAATGGTGGATGTGTCGCTCAATTTCGTGGATTAATTGAAGTTAGACATTAACACTGTCCATTGGATGTCAACCGGCTCATCGGTCTATTGGTTAAGCGCTCGCGCGCGAGACTGATAGGTCCCGGGTTCAAATCTCGTGTGGCGGGATCGTGGATACGCACTGTTGAGGAGTCCCGCAATAGGACGAAATGGCCGTCCAGTGCTTGCAGGTTTTCCATGGTGATCTAGCTTCATTTGACTCATGATCTCAACTATTAAAAATCAATAACATCAAAATGAAGTGTCAATAACCTATTGGCTGTGTGTGAAAAATCAGTTATAAGAGTTATGATATGATGACAGCTTGATGCAACGCTTTTGGAATGATAAACTTCTACTTCTTCTGCAGCGAAATCATCTGGAAGATATTGTTGTAATGGAGTTTATAATTTAAGCTAAACTATTTGAACGCTTCTGCTTGTCGAACATTAATCTGAGTCTGATTTCACTAGAATAAATGATAATCTGACTTACATACATACATACTTAATAATGGTATGATAATAATTGCATCAGATCCCTCTAATAAGTCTCATCTGTTCATTTAATTCATGTTAAATAAAGCCTAGTAATTCGATCCTTATTATCACAGACGTTAACAATCGGCAGAATAAAAGTGCATTTAGTTTCGCCTATGAAGAGTACAAAAGACTGTGTTCTCGGGAATAGATATAATAAAGAATGCCAAGTATGACATTTTAACCTTGAAAGAAAGACATGTTTTTAACATTTAAAACTTATTCAAAGTAAGATTCACCAAACCTTTATCAGTCAGTCAGTCAGTAACAACACCGGGGCAGTATCACAGCCCTCACACATATCAAATGAGATCTGTGTGGCGCATATGTATTTGGTGTCTCCTTGTACCAATATCTATGTTTTAAAATAAATAATAATAATAAATCGTACCTACGTACATCAGTTCGAGTTATCATACCACATTAGCACAGAGATGCAGTTGTCGATTCAAATCCCGTAATGGTAGAGGTAATAAGAGTATAAGCAGTATTCGGAAAGATTAGGGTTTGGAGATGTTATTTATAGAGTATAATCCAGTGAAACAAATTTGGAAAGAGAAAAAGAAGAGACAAGGAGGAATCAGAAGATTAGAATTTGGGAGAACACAAAAAGTGTATGCACCTGCACCATTGCAAACGATTTTGAGCCATGTCAGGGATTTCGAAAACATCTTTCTAAATAAACTATCGCATAACTGTTCAAAGTAGATGTACGAGGCTAATAAGAATAACTATTTGTTATTAGATTCAAAAAACATTACAGTATTTGTTGAAAACAGACTCTTCATTGGACGTTTAGAAAACTACCTTTTTCTTTTTCGTAAGATAAAGGGGTAGAAGGTGAATAGAACATATTTCACACCATTAAACGTGTTATTCCCTCTTTAAATGCTCACCTTTAATAATTTTTACATTTTTGATCGTCACTCTTATTAATATGCACCCTTTTTAATGTGAAACCATTAGGACACATGTATTAACTCTGTCTAATTAATTAATTCATAACTTTTATTTTATGAATTCATTCATTCTTCTCAAATCATATTGTTTATCCCTAGTCTCTTCTACTTCCATTGATACTTTTATTTCTTCAACTATGACCTTTGTTTTGATAACTTCATCCTCATTGTACTGATATGATGTGATGTGGCAACTTGAATTGATTTATATATTCTACGTTATTTAAGAATAATTGATTGTAGTTTTCAGATTATTGCTCTCTAATGCTATTTCTGTCGAATTATTGACTAGTATACATGTAAACTATGCAGAATTATTTAACAGTGATATTTAAGCATTATAAAGGAGCTCAAAGCATAAAGGCTTTGGAAAATGTAAAAAGTAGCATCATTGATGAACATGGTGGATCTGATGCAGATGTGAAGGCGCAGATCGGAAAAGCAAGAGCAGCATATCTACAACTGAAGAACACCTGGAACTCAAAACAACTGTCAAGAAACACCAAAGTCAGAATTTTCAATACAAATGTCAAGACAGTTTTACTGTATGAGGCGGAAACTTGGAGAACTACGAAAGCCACCATCCAGAAGATACAAGTGTTTATTAACAGTTGTCTACGCAAAATACTTCAGATCTGTTGGTCAGATACTATCAGTAACAACCTACTGTGGGAGAGAACAAACCAGATTCCAGTGGAGGAAGAAGCACTGAAAGTGGATAGGACACACATTGAGGAAAGCACCCAACTGCATCACAAGGCAAGCCCCGAATTGGAATGCTCAAGGTTAAGGAAGAGGATGACCATTGAACACAATACGCCGAGTAATGGAGACAGATATGAGAAGAATGAACAACAATTGGATGGAACTTGAAAGGAAGGCCCAGGACGGACTGGGTTGGAGAATGCTGGTCGGCAGCCTATACTCTTTTGGGAGTAACGGGCGTAAGTAAAAGTAAGATCCAAATCATAACTTATTTGTGGGCGAGAATGATAATGATTGGTTGTCTGATTAGTCTGACAGGTGTCATATAATCTATGTATTCCCTTATCCTTATTATTATTAATCATTTATTATTGATTGTTCATTGTTGTTGAATTGTATCAGGTTTTGGTGTAGAAATATATTTACATTCTAGTCAGGCTAATCACGTGTTCCTTATCATCTGAGTTGTATTGAAATCCTGTAGAATAGACATTGGGAGGGAATCTAGTGTAGATATTGGTCCCATCCATGTGAACGTGGAAACCCAACCGTTACAACATTAGACAAAGTAAAACTGAGCATTATAGCAACAACGATACAATGAACTGATGAAATTTCAAGATTTCACTTCATTGTCTTATCACATAAGAGCAATATTTTGAGTGATTTTATGTTATCTTTTTTTTTTATAAAATTAAATTTATTTAGTTTATTTTTATATTGTTTGTTTTGACGAATCTCAAATAGAACGAAACGCACAGCTTAAATTTCTACTATTAGCCACCATTCATTTATGCTGATTTATTTATTGTTCTATTGAGTGAATCACTTTTCTTCTTCCCTTTTTTTGTGTGTCTTTATTCAGCTTAATTTTTGTTTTAATTTATTTTAATATTAAAGGATGGACATGTTGGTGAAAAACTTTTATTAGAAATTGAACGAAAATTTGATAAATGGCAAGAACCACCTCCAGTAAAAACAATTAAAGCTTTACCAGCTCCAATCGATCCACCTGCTAAGTAAGTTTTCGTTTTTTTTCTTCTCATTTTAATTCATAATTATTAATTTCAATGGTTGAGTTCATGAGCCAAATGAAGCTAGATCACCATGAAAAACCTGGAAGCATTGGACGGCCGTTTCGTCCTATTGCGGGACTCCTTAGCAGTGCGCATCGACGATCCCGCCTCACGGGATCCAAATTTAGAACCTATCAATCTCGCGCGCGAGCGCTTAACCACTGGACCGCTGAGCCGGTCGGCATCCAACAGTGTAAATGACTGACTTCAACCAATCCACGAAATTGAGCGACACATCCACCATTGTCATCAGTGAGTTACTATCTGACAACAAACCCGGTTGAACTCCACTGATCACTGCTTCTCACTAGAGCTCCACGAAATACCTGTTAGAGACCGTCACTAGTGAGCATATGAACTTCAACCGATGCACATACGTACATGTTTTATGTTGTGACTGACTAACTAACTACATCGATCGATCTTCAAATATTAATTTACAAATTCTAACGCCACACTTCATCCTTTTTCGATTTGCTTAGCCTTTTATTACAAATTTCTACTTGGCTTTAAAGTTACAGTAGAGCTGTGGTTTTGGAAGAGTTACTTAGTTAACACTTATAAAATGCTCATGTCTTAATCATTTGATTTCCATTCCGCATACTTCTATTCGACAAATTCGATAGTATCACCTAAAGCTTAGAGCCTGTATTATACATTAAATGCTTTTATTTTTCAATGACTGGTAACTTGTCTTCAGTTGGTTTTCATCAATCGGAACTTTACATGTAAACATTATTATTCATTTTGCTTTATCTAGAAAACGAGGTGGTCGACGTTATCGAAAAATGAAGGAACGTTTAGGTATGAGTGAATTAAGACGATCAGCGAATCGAATACAATTTGGTGAAATCACTGATGATGCTTATCAAAGTGATTTAGGCTTTTCATTAGGATCACTTGGTCAACGTGGTATAGCAGGACGTTTACGTGCTCCTCAGGCTGATTCAAAAACAAAAGCTCGTGTAAGCAAAGCATTACAACAGAAATTATCCAAATTTGGTGGTATGTCCACTATGCCCACTACTGCATTGGGTGCTGCAAGTTGGGGTGGGAATTCTACTGTACGTAAACATGTCGCTGGTACTTCATCATCGATTGCATTCACTCCACTACAGGTAAAATGTTTATCCAATTTGTATTCTACGCTTTCATTTTACTTCATTAAATGTAGATTATAGTTAATTTTCTAATTATCCATTCTAGTAAAATGTTTATTATATTTTGAAGAACATCATAAGTCACTAGTAGTACTGTGTTCATGAGGATTAATGGATTTCATACAAATCAGGGAGTAAGACAGATACACGGATTGATGCTGTATCACACAGCCAATTTTAAAAGTTTAATTAATCAGCCTATTATGTCGATTTCACCCTCTGCCAGCTGATCACTGATATCTTATGAAATCAAACCAAAACATTTGTAACTCTCATCACAGATAGATTTAACCCTCTGTGAATTTATTGACTAGTTTGTTTGGTTATCTGTAACCGTTTCACAATTTACTTTCATGCTAGCTGGTATAGAATCCAGGCGATATGTAAGCATACAGAACATCACTTCTAGTTTAAGAAAGCTTTTGAAGTAACCGACTGAACATGTCCAACTTTCAATAGCCAATTTACCTCAGTATGTTGTAATAGGAAAACAAGTTAAAATGTATCTATCTCAAATGGTAATAGTTTCATTGAGAAATGATAAGAATTAATAAACTGTAGGTTTTATGGACCTTCTATTGCAAACATGCAGCTTTTTTTGTATCTTTTTATTGCTGATGTTAAGTAATCACAATGTTATAATTTCTCTTATTACGACTCAGCTACTCCTATCGCTTAATAATCTTGAACACGAATTCACTCAACACAATCCTCAAATCAGAACACAGTTGAACAGGAACGAAATTATATTCTAAATAACAAGAGTAAATGGAAGTAGGGAAGCACAATAATAAAAAAAACACTAGTTTATTTATATTTATTTAAACACATAAATAATGGTACAAGAACGCACCAGATAGATATGCACCACATAAATCATTCGATTTGCGTGAAAGCTGGGATATTGACCGGGTGCCTAGACCGAAGCAGGTGGTTTTCTTAAGGGGCCACATCCCGAACCTTTGACCTAAAGGTATGACCCACAATGCAGTGTAGCATCGTAAGGAGATGCATTCCCATGGTAGCCGGTGACCAAAGATTGGTTCATACACCATTTGTTCCCGCAGAATACTGGAGCCCATGTGCACCATTGGTTTGGGGTCCGGTTAAAGCGCCGGACATTCGCTTTTCGTCATCTCATCTTCGTAAACAACAGTAGTGCCACGAGAAGGCAGTGAGTAGGACTTCCCTGGCAGAGGCTATATACGCGTGGCCGTGTGAGAGCACTTCGACAATGAGGGCGGGCCCACCCTACTCTCGGCCATACCAGGGCATTTGGGGGCAGTCTATTTATAGTTCTCATATGAGAAGATTGTAGAGTCTTCTCCAACTATCGGCTGGCGCTGATTGGTTAAGAAATAGCCAATCAGTGTGCCCCGATATAATCCTATATGAAACATGCTTTAATTCAATCTACTATATTCTGCTAGCATACAAATATTACATCATCAATATCATTTCATTACATTCATTGTTTTACATAGTTTAAGTATGACATTGATCTAAAATGGTTATTTTGAAATAGACTAGAAATCATATTCTGTTAGATAGAGGAAATCTAAATTTACTCTTGTTGTTGTTCTGTGCTGATTTACCTGGTGATATATCAATTCTTCTTTTTTTAGGGGGGGGGAGAGGAGGGGGTTCTGAATTTTTATTCATTTCACTTCATAATAATAGTAATATCTTAAATGGTATTTTGTCTTTATAGGGTCTTGAAATTGTCAATCCACAAGCTGCAGAAAAACCAATGGAAGTTGGTAATAAATATTTCAGTAGTACTTGTGGTTTTACAAAAATTCAACCGAAAATGAAAAATGGAGTATAAATCAAGTTGGAAAAGTAGATAAATATACAAAAAAAATAATGGTTGATTGCCAATATGTAAATTAACAAATGGTAATTAATGTACATTTTTTAGATGAAATCAGACATTTAATGAATGTTTCATCTTTCATAATCTGAATACATTGTCCATGTATTTATCACTAAAGAAAAATTGTATATTTTGACTCATGTAATATAAAAGTCCATACATAAAAGTCTTTCAGTAATTGACTTTTACTTAAATTTTATTGAGTGAATTGTCTAAAATAAGGACAACTATTCATAATCTGTGAGACAAGTTAATGTGTATTAATATTCGTGCAAACTGGGATCTGCGAGATGATAGCAACCGATGGTTACAGACCTTGAATGAAATGGCTCAAAATCGTTTGCAATGGCGCAGGTGCATACACTTTTTGTGTTCTCCCAAATTCTAATCTTCTGATTCCTCCTTGTCTCTTCTTTTTCTCTTTCCAAATTTATTTCACTGGATTATACTCTTTAAATAACATCTCCAAACCCTAATCTTCCCGATTACTGCTTATACTCTTATTACCTCTACCACTACGGGATTTGAATCGACAACTGCATCTCTGTGCTAATGTGGTGTGGCAACTCGAACTGATGTACGTACGTACGAAGTCCTACGTTTTCACTGACTGACTGACTGAATTTTGTGCAGACATTTGCTAACCATCTTCATTTTGATACCGCATCTCTGTAGGCGCTAGAAAAACGTTTTATTGCTGCTACATCCCTAGTACAGTCGGCAGTAGAACCTGGCTTTCAGACCATAAATTTGCTGATATTAATCTCCAGTAGACTTGCCTAGGATGTTAGTACTTAAAGGAACAATACAGCTTGATTAGGACATCACTATAAACCAACCTAATTACCTTGTCAAAGCAACAGCCAAGGTTATTTGACATGAGCACGAAGAAAAGTTAATACAATAAATGAATAACTTGCATGGTTGATTCATTCAAAGTCGTCATTCACTACACATGTTCGACATACAGTAAATCACATATGTGCCTGATCCTACGTTGCAGCTGACTGACTGATACAGTAAATCGGTGTAAAACTTTTATTTCACTTCATTTTTTAAAAAAAAATGAAGAGTACAAAAATATATAAAAAAAGCCCAAACACTAACACCCACTGGTTAGCAGCATACACAAAGACGAATAGTAAAATATACATAAATAATTTACAGTTAACATATGCTTAACAGTAAATAGTCATAATTACTATGATCATTATTTCATGTTATCGGATTATTGTTCAATTGCTTTTGTATGATTCTTTCTAAACGATTATGCATTACTTGTATAAATAACCGTTGATTTTGTTTTAAATAAGCAGCCTAAAATGTTGAATAAAATAGTAAGCAAAATATGTTGTATTTAATTGTTAAAGCATTTAACATTCAATTGTTCAACTGAAAGTTTAAGAACCGAGCGTTTAATTTAATTCAGTTTAGGCAGATCACCGATCATGATTTCACACCGCCCGTCGCTACTACTGATTGAATGGTTTTGTGAAGTCTTTGTAGTGGCTTTGCCGCTCGACTGATGCTGAGATGATCTAATTTACTAGGTTAGAGGAAGTAAAAATCTTAACACGGTTTTCGTAGGTGAACCTGCTGAAGGATCATTACCATAACCCAAAAATATATAATGAAGCATACACCTAGTTTTGTGCTGGCTTAGTGGTATTTACCCTAGGCTTCAGCGGTTATTATAATGATCATCATGAGTTACATTATTGTTACTTGAACAGTGTTTATTGTACTAAAGATTTTATAGATTATCAGTATCTTGAACACTTATATTTTCTTCCATCAACGATATTAAGAAACTTTGTTAACCAGGTGATAGAATTAAATAATTTATTACAGAAAATTCAAAGAAATTGAAGTGTTTATATACTTTCTACAAGATTAACAAACTTCTTAAAAATCACAATAGATTTATTAATATTAGAAGTACAGTAGGCACGTCCACATAACTTCAATTCATTTCAGTCAGCTACAACGTGGGAGCAGGCACATATATGCATCGATCCAAGTTGCTACACCTTATTAGCACAACAAGATGAACACCAAATTCATAGTAGTTGCTTCAATGCTCCTAACGTCCTTCCAACCGTTTCCGACACTAGTCAGCATTGCATATCGTGGTAAACGATGTTCAGGTATATGTAACACGTGGCTCAACCATCTCAGTTGATGAAAATTTACAATCTCACCAACTAATTTACCATCATTCCCTAATACCCTGCGTCTAACCTCACTATTACTTACCCGGTGATCCCAGCAGATGCGAGTAATATTTCTAAGTCATCTGTGATCAAGTACTAGTAACTTACGAGTATCTTCTACTCTTAAAGACCACGTTTCGCAGGCGTAAAAAAAACAGGATAAACTGCTGCGCAGTACTGATAGACGGATATATCACCTTAGCCATAGATGACGTAAGTTTGCAAAAGCTAAACGAGCTTTTCGAATTCGTGCTGAGATCTCTTCAGACACCAACCCATTAGGGATGATCAGACTTCCAAGATAAGTGAAGTTGCCAACGCGTTCGACTACTTCACTCCCTATCCTTAGTTCAGGTGTTGACTCAGGCCAGTCCTGAAGCAACAACTTGCATTTAGAGGGGTAGAAGCGCATCCCAAACATCCTGGCATTGTTGCTCAATGCTATTAAAAGACTATTTTATCGATAAGTGGACCTCCTGGAAGGAGATCAATGCCCGAAAATTCAGTCAACGTACGTACAAAGTTCTACGTTGTTGCTGACTGACAGTCGACGAGAACGTTATTTCCATCAGTATGTCTATGATGAATTTGAACAAAAGTAGAGATTTAGTCTTGTGAAGCTGATTTGATCGGATTGACAAATATGTTTGTATTAGAATCAGTATTATTTATGTCTGTTCGGTTTTTTTTCGCAATATGAATAATCAAAGAAGTGGATAATTGGATTAGAATTTCAATTTATGTACAGATATATATGATGAAGTTTTGCATACAGAATATATTACTCAGTGTAAACGAATGAGTTGATTAAAAAAAATGACAGTAGTATAACTCATATACTAATTATAGAGTTATAATGTTTGTATAAGAGCTACTGGTACCATTTGAGTGTTTTTAATAGAAATAGATGGCGAAAGTTTCATACCTGTAGTATAACTTCTGAATGTAGAGTGGTTTAGCGACTAGGTCACATCTCAATATATACCTTCAAAAACAAGCTCTCATTTATGGATCATATATTAGGAAAAGAAATTTTTCCCATTCTGTTCGGACCAAACGAAAAATGGATTTTAATCATACTTTTTAATCCTTTGATTGCGCGCGTACCGTTGACGACGCACTATGAAACTGGAATTCTGAAATAGCTAATCCTCAAGATATTCTATAATTATTGACGTTTTCCCCTGTATTATTGTCGATCGAAAGATGAACACATTCTTTCGTCTTTTTAATAGTTGTGGGTTTGGTTCAAGTTTGGTTGAAGAGTAATTTATGTTAGACTCAGTCATCGCGTTAACTCTGACATTAATATTTCAAAGGTTGTACAATCGATAATCCCATTAATTTTCTTTAGTAATTTATGATTAACTGGAGAATTGAATTTGAGAAAAGAAAAAGAAATTGATGTAGAATAATTACCTTAGTTAACTGGCTAAGCATTTCCATTATTTCGTCTTGTACCAAATGTTCACAATGATTACGTAACCAAGACATATTCCTTTGAAGTATATTGTTATTTTCCCGACTAAATGCTGTATTCATTAATGCATTACGTTTAGTTGGAGTACTGATAGTGGTTAAAGTCGACAATGGTTTTAAAGAGGATTTCATTGGAGAAGTAATGCAATTAGTGGTAGACAGATTACGAATACCATGTGAGGATTGTAAGGATTGATGTAACGGAGCATCTTTATTGTTTTCACCGATTACAGCATTAGGATTGTTTATGAGACTGCTTAAATGTTTCCATAATAAATATGTCGACTGTTCAATTATGCCTACATATAAAAAATATGATCAATTTGATAGAAATAAAATCACGAACAATCTAATATGTAATATTAAGAAAATTGGATTGTAGCCTAGCAATGGTATACAGGAACTTCGCCTGTAGCTCTTCTAGAGTTACTGCCGGACCCAAGCCTGGGTAAAGTAGGAGGGTTGGGCATGGGGTTATCGAACCCATCCCGTAGAAAACTAACTCACTAAAAAACGCCAACCAGAAAAAATAATTCAAACCACTTAAACTGTCCCTGGAAGTTAAAAGGTCTTCATTTAGAACTATGATGCCTCATGGTGAAAGCCGAGCTCCTTCGGAAGCCACGAGGCCAATGCCCCTTCTAACAACCAGAGCAAAAATTCTTATAGGTACATGGAACGTCCGGACAATGTGGGAGACCGGGCAGACCAGTCAACTAGCAACAGAAATGAGGAGATACAGCTTGGCAGTACTGTGAATCAGCGAAACCCATTGGACCCAAGCTGGACAACAAAGGCTAGATACGAGAGAGATGCTGCTATACTCCGGCCACGAAGAGGAAAATGCTCCACACACTCAGGGAGTTGCTCTAATGCTGTCCAAAGTAGCACGAAATGCACTTGTAGGATGGGAATCTTACGGATCCAGAATCATCAAAGCATCATTCAAAACAAAGAAGGAGGGGATCACAGTGAATATTATCCAATGTTATGCATCCACCAATGATAGCAACGACGACATTAAAGATCAATTCTACGAGCGGCTGCAATCAGTCATAGTGAAGTGCCCAAGAAAGGACCTAACTATTCTGATGGGAGATCTAAATGCCAAAGTCGGAATAGACAACCCCGGATATGAAGATATCAAGTTAGTAGGATGTACCTTTACCTAGTATTGTTATTCAGAAGACAATTCGCTAAGAATGAACATTTACCATCAACAAATAATCAAACGTGATTCTTAATTTCAACAACGAAAGTACTTTAAGCCATTACACATAACGAGTAATATTTTAAGCAATAATGTAGCGATAATATACTTTTAATAGCCTGATCAAGAATTACAGGTTAATTCAATTCTCCAATTATGTAAATATCATCTTGAATGTCAGTCACCAACAACGTAGAACCTCGTACGTACGTACATTAGTTTGAGTTGTCATACCACATTAGCACAGAAAAAATTGTTAATTCAAATCTCGTAGTGGTAGAGGTAGTAAGAGTATAAACAGTATTCGGAAAGATTAGGGTTTGGAGATGTTATTTAAAGAGTATAATACGGTGAAATAAATTTGGAAAGAGGAAAAAAGGGACATGAAGAATTCAGAAGATTAGAATTTGGGAGAACACAAAAAGTGGATGCACCTGAGCCATTGCAAACGATTTTGAGCCATGTCATTCAGGGTCTCTAACCATCGGTTGCTATCATCTCGTGGATCCCAACAAGGTAATACACACTTACCAACATGGCTCAGTCCACTTCTCAGTGACTTCATGGATTTGTGTCATGTTTTGGTCTGACCGCCCCTAACTTTCTTCCAACGTACTCCTACACCATAAAACATCGTTCGTCGGGGCAGTCGGTTGTTTGGCATTATTTTGACTTACTATTTATGATGCAAAGTTAATCAAACATGCATTCACACATTATTTACAATTTGCTGTAGAGATAATTATTGGAAAATTCAAAAAGAATCATCACAACACTTGAAGGAGTTTCTTTTTCCTCTACACTTTTAAGAAACGAGAAATGATTGTAATGGAATTCATACATATATGTATAATATGATGTACAAAAGATGTGATGGCAGCAAAAACTAGACTATATTTACACATGAAGATGAATTATTCACTGTAATCAAACAAGATATTTCCAGCATAATGAAGAACTAATTTAAGTTAAATTCCCTATCTTGAAGTGATCGTTAGTTCACGTATAACATCAGTTTGGCAGAATTAGTGGCGTCAACAGACAAACGCAACCAATCTCTTTAAAGATATCTGTAATTCATTATTCATTATTACATTTTGCAAACATAGATTAGGAGAAATAGAACTACTGAGTAGCCTTTCAAAACCCGTGAGCTATCTCATAGGTTTAAGAAACGATGTAACAGTGTGAAAAGCTTAAGCTGACTACTTGTGTTTATAGTGAAATGAAGTCTACCAGTAACTCTTAAATTAGTGAGGATCGGTATAGACAACATCAGATGTGATAAGGTTTTTGATCGCTTCAAGTGTGCTTACCATTAGTACAGTGTGTGTGAGAGAGAGACAGAGAGAAGAAAACATATGGACAAGACTATAAAATCAATATTAATATTGAACTAACAATAGAGAGCATGGTTAGGAAAGTTTGTTCTAAGACTCGAGAAATAAAACTAAATGAAGGTTAAAAATGACCACAACCGTGTCACTAATTTGGGAGAGATTTTGAGCTATATCGCAAAGTTGCATGTAAATGTTTAAATAAAACGGTCGACACTACACAGTGACCTTAGTTAGAAGAAACCATTGAAAACTAGGAAGCTTTAGATAACTGTCTTATTCGAATATGGGATTTCTCGGCAGTGTGCATCCACGAACCCATCGGGAATGAAACCCAGGATTTTATTCAGGTCATTTTGTTTTGTTGCACAAAAACTTTCCAATGTCGCTGATGGTCAGTTGTGACAACTGAAACTCACTAGCAACGAATTTTACATCTCAAAATTAGTAACTAGTGAGGAAGTGATTATGTATTGGTGTGAATGTGTTGTGAGCTGTGAGACTCGATAATCTTAACAAACGTTTTTACAGTAATACATAAAATGTCCATTTAAAGTGAGCTAGTATTCAGTAAACAGTTCAAAAATATCCAATACTAACACTTACCAATAAGTCCACGCAATTGAACACGTAGACAACTGACACCAAGTTGAGTTAATCGTTGCATCATTTGAATTTCAGCATTTTGATTTTCTTTACCAGCAGTAATTCGACTAGTATTTAGACGAAAAAAAAGCAAGTAAACTCATAATAATATAATGAAACTACTACTGCATCAATTAGATTTTATGCTAGTTGGTGCCTGTCAACCATGAGTACATCCAATCTTGTGGGAACTGACGCTGTTCGCCGTGGTAGCAAGATATGCGTCAACCAGTAATTGTCACGAAAAAGTAATCACTTGATGGAAATTAATAAAGTAATGAGAGTGGGTGGTCTGAACTAGGATGGTAATGATTAGCTTTAACGTAAATACACTCCTGTTTTTAACTTTATGATAATATATAACAATCAGAGTCTATCAATGTATGAAAATAGTGAAATACAATGAAAGCTGTTTGGAAAAAAGAAGATAGTACTAATATGATAATAAGTTACACATTCGGAATTAATGCCATGCTATCTAGCAATGATATTATCCTCCAATTAGCACTAAATCTTACTATGTGTAACGTTACTTGCCCATAAATCGCTTGAAGGGTACACAGTTTTCAAATTGTACAAAATGTCTGTTTCACATACAAACAATATTGTTTTATTCCTTAGAAAGAAGAGAAAATATCATAGACAATTCTACATGTCCCCCAAATGCCCTGGTACGGCCGAGAGTGGAGAGTCCGGTCTCCCTCTCGAAATGCTCTCACATGGCCACGCGTATATAGCCTTTGCCACGGAAGTCCTACTCACTGCCTTCTCGTGGCACTACTACTGTTTACGAAAATGAGAGGACGAAAAGCGAATGTCCGGCGCTTTAACCGGATTCCAAACCAATGGTGCACATGGGCTCCAGTACTCTGCGGAAATAAATGGCGTATGAACCAATTGTTGGTTGCCGGCTTCCATGGGACTGCATCTCCTCACGATGCTACACTGCCTTGTGGATCAGAACTCCAGGTCGAAGGCTCGGGGTGTGGCCCCCTAAGAAAACCACCTGTTTCGGTTTGGGTACCCGAGCAGTACCACAGCCCTCACACATGTCGAATGAGATTTGTGTGGCGCATATGTATTTGGTGCCTCCTTGTACCAATATCTATGTGTTAAAATAAAATAATAGAATACATCCCAATAAGGGATAAGAACAAAAGAAATAACTGAACAACAAATATGACTGATATCTATCCCTTTTATCACTTACTCAACAGAATTTAATAATTGTAAAGGGCATTTGAATATGATAGATGAAGCTTGTTTTAATTCATTAATTGGTAGACTTTCATTGAATGATTCACACTATGATTTTATTTCAAAACAAGGCAAGGAAAAATTAAGAATATAATGAACATAACAATAAAAGTAACTAATCAGTTTATAAATATATCGTGAAATATTACATCACTATTCAAAATACATCTCTGTTAGACGTAGCTACTTCATTTTTCTCCGTATCTAACACAACACTATTGCTTATCCGAGAGAGAGAGATTGTTTAGGTAGAGGTTAAGTCATATGATGAGCGAATATTTCACTTTGAGATCATCAGTCAGTAACAACGTAGAACCTCGTACGTACGTACATCAGTTCAAGTTGCCATATCACATTAGCACAGACATGCAGTTGTCAATTCAAATCCCGTAGTGGTATAGGTAGTAAAAGTATAAGCAGTAATCGGGAAGATTAGGGTTTGGAGATGTTATTTAAAGAGTATAATCCAGTGAAATAAATTTGGAAAGAGAAAAAGAAGAGACAAGGAGGAATCAGAAGATTAGAATTTGGGAGAACACAGAGAGTGGATGCACCTGCGCCATTGTAAACGATTTTGAGCCATGTCATTCAAGGTCTGTAACCATCGGTTGCTATCGTCTCGCGGTTCCCAACCAGGTAGTCTACACTTAACAGCATGGCTCATTCAGTTCACTTGTCAATGACTTCATGGACTTGTGCCATGTTTTGGGATCATAATTAACTGAATGAAGACAGTCCACAACAATTAAGGTTAATATATTCTTAATAGTACAATTACCTGCCACCTGCTTCATAGTGGACACCATGTTGATATTTCAAAATCAACCGAAATAATCATTAACCTAAACAACTTCGAACTTATTACATTTTGCTGAGGTCACCTACCATGAAAACAGTTAAAAACAGAATATATTTTTCCGAAACAAGAGAATACAGTTGTAAATTTCACAACTACTTTGTTAACTTCCTATTTTCATAAATCAATTACGTAATATTTTATTTCACCTTCCCAACCATATATCAATTTATAATCTTCTTTGGTCACTTTAAAAAAAAGGGTTTACCTCATTTTAATATGTTAATTCATTCAATTTTACGGTGTTATTATTATGTAAGATTTGAAATGCGGTCTATATGTGTTCTATAGCAGTTTTTGTTATTCAATGAATCTTTATGAATATGATATAAAATATGTATAGTGGTTATGAATAATTATTCCTAATTCACTTGGTATTGTTTACTTGAATCTTCCAATTGATCAGTCTCATGTTGGCATATATGCATCCTGTACGGGTTGCCTCAGAGTTGATGTCTACTCCGGGACTTCAACCCTGTACCATTCGCTTCAAACACCATCGCGTTATCCACTTAGCTATTGAGTCCTAGTAGTCAATATCGAGGTAATACGCACAATATGCATATATGCCAATAAGAGACTGATCAATTGCAATCCTAAAACCCAATGAGAAGTTTCAAGTAAACAACAATGCCAAGTGAATTTAAACTTCACCCCATTGCATATCCAAGTGGCTATCAGGACTCAGTAACTACTAAGTGGATAACATGATGACGTTTAAGGTGAATGACACTGGGTTCGAGTCCCAAAGTGAACATCAACTCTGAGATGCAAGTACATCCAGCTGACGAGTTACAAATAGAACAAAACGAGCATCAAACTGGATTCCACTGCTAACCAATAACCATCTTTGCTTATAATTATTACTAATATTTGCAGGCTGTAACCAATTGGTGAGAATCAACGAAACTATAAAAGAATTCATATTCCGTTGAAATATGAGATTAAATTTGCTTCATATCTTTCTTTCTACGAACTAATTCTTTCTTCCCATAATATATCTTTATATGCAATCTTTCTTTTATATATAACCATCACTCAATTAACTACTTCTATGAATCCGATGTTCATCTTGCTGTGCTAATGAGGTATGGCAACTTAAACCGATGGATATATATGTGTCTAGCCCTACATTGTAGCTAACTAACTAATTCAAAGTAAATTGTTTAAAAATAAAACAACGGACAACAACAAACAGATTGGATGTCGGCTCAGTGGTCTAGTTGGGGTTGAGTGCCTGGCGCGAGACTGATAGGTCCTGGGTTCGAATCTCGCGTGGGGGGGCGGGATCGTGGATGCGCACTGCTGAGGAGTCTCATACTAGGACGAAACGGCCATCCAGTGCTTCCAGGTTTCCTATGCTGGTCTAGCTTCAATTGATTCATGATTTCAACCAGTGAAATTTCTAAAAAAAATCTCCACAAAACCCCTTTCTGATAAAACAGAGAATAGACATTAAGACACACATACAAGAAATAAAACAAATTGAATTATAACATACATTCAATAATTGAATAATTGATTGTCCAAATTGTTGTTGATTAATTTGTTCATTATAGATTTTATTTTTGGATTGTTTTATAGAATGACTATTATTATGATTATGATTAAGAAATTGTACATTGATTAATGCTAAACAAATTTTCTCTTTATTTCGTAAACATTTTAATGACCATTGTAATAAATTCATAATTAATGTTAATGTATTTTGAATTTTTATATTGAATGTTGAATTTTCTGATTTAAAAAAATAAAAATAAATCATTCAATAAATAAATAAATAAATAAATAAATAAATAAATAAATAAATAAATAATATACGTTATGATACAATTATAATTTTTTCTGGTAAGCGTTTTTTTAGCGATTTAGTTTTATACAGGATGGGGTCGCTAACCCCATGCCCAACCATCCTTCTTTATCCGGGCTTGGGACTGGCAGTAGCCCCCCCCAGGGGTACTCTAGGTGGAGGGAGAAATTAGGAAGTGGATAGGACACACATTGAGGAAAGCACTCAACTGTATCACAAGACAAGCCCTCACATGGAATCCTGAATGCCAAGAGAGAAGAGGATGACCAAAGAACACATTGCACCGGGAAATGGAGATAGACATGAGAAAAATGAACAAGAACTGGATGGAATTAGATAAGAAGGTCCAGGACAGAGTGAGTTGGAGAATGCTAGTCGGCGTCCTATGCTCCATTAGGAGTAACTGGTGTAAGTAAGTAAGTTATGATACAACAATTAGCCAGTCAGAATATACAGTCTTACTTTTCATGTATTATAGTGATGAATGAATTCAGTGTGGAACAATTCTTTATAAAGAATAAATGGAATGTGACTAGCAGTGAAAACCGAGAATCAGCCAAGGAGAGTTTGAAAACCCTGATTCCAACCCAATGATGCACATGAGTTTCAGTATCCTGAGAGAACAAATGGCGTATGGACCTATCGTTGGTCATCGGCTACCATGGGACTGCAGGTCCTGACGTTGCTCCACTGTTCTGTGGATTAGACCTTTAGGTCAAAGGCTCAGGGTGTGTCCCCCTAAGGAAACCATCTGGTTCGGTTTGAGCACCCGGGCAGTATTCCTGCCTTCACATTAATCTAATGATTTATGTGGTGCATAACTTTTTGGTGTCTCGTTGTACCAACGTTTATGTGTTTAAATAAATAAAAAAGGAGTGAAATCCAGGATACAATTTTTATCCATTTCGGGACTCGTCAAATGGATGCATTCGCATCGGAGAGTTGAAAACCATTATGAGCTCACTAACTCAGTATTTAATGTGTGGGAATTCGAAGTGAAAAACATTGAGATTCAGATTACGGAGTGAATATGGACTCTGAAGTGCAGTTCCGTTTGGTTGATGAGTCCCAAATACGACAAAAGACGTCATGGATTCTACTGTTAGCCATACATGATTTATTATATTTTAATTAAAAAAACTATATCGAGGCGATGCGCACAGAATGCACATATTCCAATTAAGACTAATAAGAATTTACTCAAAATATCAAAAATGGCATACTCAAAACTATTACAAATTAAAATGAATCTTTCTAAAGTTTAATAACCATGAATCAGAAGTAATAATTACAGAAGAACCAAAGGAAAAACCCAAAACGATACATTCTTTAGGTGATGTAGTTCAATATTTAGCTAACTGATTCGATTCTTGTGTCATATGGCTGCTTTGTTAAAACTATCAATTTCCAATCAACCGGATCAATTAATAGTGTATTACATAAATATCGTCACTGTCTTGACCCGACTCTAGCTACGCAAACCGAAATATTAACACAATAGTGAGCGCAAGAAACTAAACACAATGAACGAACAAAATGCAAGTATTCTTCAATAAAAGTTGTACTATGTCCTCAATGACTTTTAACTACCATACCCTCAACTATCAAAAAGGCAGAAAGCAAAAGAACTATGCCCCGATTCAAGTGACGATAATACTAGGTAAAATACTATCTCCACGGAAAAAATGGGTTAAAAGCAAGATAGTAGATATAATGCCCAGTCTATGGTTAAGTACATTATCGGGAACAAACAATTCAACTAACTAACTAACCAAACACAAGGCGAAATGAAATCATTATCTATGACAGTAGTGTTGTTTGCTTTTCATAAGTAATATACAACTAAATTGTTGACATTCAACGGTAAAAAATTGAATACTAAGCTTAATGCATAAAATACCTTCCTATAAACTAATCCAACTAAGAAACTACACAGTTAGCAACATATATTTTTCAAATTTTAAATGAAAGTAAGACTAATGATACATTTTCTGTATGGAGACACAGTAGAATTTAAAATTTTAAGTAACAAGTAAGTTTTCAACTGATTTTCAACGAGTCACATTTGAAATAAACCAATCACAACAACAAAAACATCTGACGGTAAGTACAAATTAAGATTGGAATAAAAGGTGACAACAATGATATCATTGACAAATATCAATATTAATCCATCAAGATGTTAACATCTTCTGATATGATTCATTGCATGAAGACTGATATAATATTTTTAGATGCTATTCTTAAACTTTCACCGACATATCGATTTACATTACCCAGGACGATAGTGTACGTATAACAGATAATTAGTGGTGATAGAGAGTGAGTAACACAGGTACTAACTAATTCTGTCAATGGAATTTCACCATTTTATCACTTTTTGAATTAAACTGTTTAAAGATTCAGTCAGTCAGCTACAACATAGGACCACGTACATGTATGCATCGGTCCCAGTTGCCACACCTGCTGACTATACAGAGGTGTGACGTCAGAAAGGTGTTTTCTCCCGACAATCAGAATGACAGCGATGCTGCCTTCACACAACCAGGAGTGAGGTTAGAAAAGGTCGACCCCAAAAATGCACACCTCGCCTTATCCCATGGATATCCATCCCCGACTGTAAGGTCTCAACAAGTACGGAGCTAACACAAAAATTACTCACTAAAAGGTTGTGTGTGACCGACCTCAAGCAGTTATCCCTCGAGCACTGCGGTCACGTTTTCAGGTCACTAAGACCACCTCCAAGGACCTCCAGAAGAACTCTTTCACGGTGTGGGCAACCGGGAAGTGATCACCACCCTCATGCCTCTAATAGCACTCAAAACCATTTTTTAAAGATTCGCTTAAACAACTTCACATAGACCAAGTAAATCGAGGCGATATAATGAAAAGTTCATAACTTACCTTGTTCCGAATCAATTGTTGAATTATTATTATTATTATTATTATTATTATTATTATTATTATTATTATTATAAAATTGAAATAATGTACGTGTTGTATCATTATTTATATGATCCGATGTAAATTTACGTATTCTATTTACTGGTATACTTAAATATGCTATGAATACAAATAATAAACTATAAATCAGTTGAATATATTGTGTTTCAATAAATAAATATTCAAAAGCTAAATAATTATTATGAAATTTATAATTTCCACATAAATCATTCTCATCTAATAAGGATAGATTATTGGACTGAATTAAATGGATAAGTAATTCAAATGTATGTCGTAGAATTTTCGATTGAATAATTTCACGTTGAAGATTGGAATATCTAAAGAAGAAGAAAAAGAAAGAGAAGTGAAAACCAAAGAATTAAATATTTAATATCATAGAAAGCGATCTTGAGTATTCACGATACCACATCGCGAGATTCGAACCCAGGACCTATAGGTCTCATGCGTGAACGTTTAACCACTAGACCATTGAGCCAGCATCTAATGGTGTCAATGTCTAACTTCAACCAATTCACGAAATTGAGCAACACATCTACGATTGTCTTCAGTGAGTTACTATTTCACAACAGACCCGGTTGAACTCCACTGGTCACTGCTTCTCACTGAAACTTCAGAAAATACCTCTTGAAGCCAGTCACTAGTGAGCATATGTTGATTAATATCAGAAGGGGTTTTGCGGATATTCTAGTAATTTCAAATAGTTGAGATCATGAGTCAATTTAAGCTAGAAAACCTGGAAGACCGTTTCGTCCTATTGTGGGACTCCTCAGCAATGCACATCCTCGAACCTAGGACCTATAGCATGATGGTCTAGCTTCGATTGACTCATGATATTAACTATTAAAAATATTTAAGTCGATTAAATGAGGCATGAAATGAATTAACTACAAAAATTTGACAATTATAATTAAAGTTGGCTGACAGGATACTATGGTAATGAAACTTCTATAGTTGCTTCAATGCTATGCTTTCAAATACCCTGGTACAGTAGAGAGTGGAGAAAGTCAGCTCTCCCTCTTGAAATGTACTAATATAGCCACGGTCAGGGAAGTACTAATCGTTGCTTTCTGGCGACAGGGATGCTGTTAACGAAACTGAGATAATGAAAAGCGAATATCTGGCACTTAAACTGGGTAAGTGGATGAAGAGAATCTTAGGGGAGTTGGAAAACCGTGATTACAAACCAATAATGTACATGGGCTTCAGGATTCTGAGGAAACAAACGTGTATAACCCCATTTTTAATCACCGGCTACTATCAGACCGCATCCCTTACGTTGCTTCACTATCTTTTGGATTAGATCTCTGGGTCAAACGCTCGGGGATCGGTCCTTTAAGGATTACCTGATTCGGTTTGGGCACCCAGAAAGTATCTCAAGTCCCCCGAATTCGGCGTTGTGTATATATAGCTGAGTGCCCCTTTGTATCAATGTTTATGTGTTTATATAAACAAATAAACTTCAAAGTTAAACAATCAGGAAAAGGTTGATGTGATTTGAATACCATAGCTCTTAATAACAATAACACCTACATATGTGCCTATATTCCCAGGCGTCAAGTAAAACAAAATAATACCGAATACCTCGGTTTTATCATCGCTACATTATAATCAAGAGAATGACATGAGTGAAGAATATATATCACATTATTGCTAAGCTTGAGACATCATCACTGATAATGCATTGAAAATTTCGAAGGAAAAAAAAGACAAAATAATTCATACATTAAGATTGAGATTTCTTTAAAATGATACGGTAAAGAATAGAGTAAATGTCTTAACAGTAAATCTTGTAGGGCGGACAAAATGACCGCCTAGAATACTGATGTTACTACTGATATTAATAATATTAGTAGTAAAAAACAAACTTACTCATCTGAGCACATTATACTAACTGGACTATTAAAACTTGGCATAATTAAACTAAACAAATTTATAATATTTGTTTCTGATGCAATCCATTGTATAAGCCAATTTGAATTGTTTGGTTGATTAGAAGAAGAATTCGAATGATTGATGTAAGACCAATCTTGTCGGCTTAAAAATGTTACAATTGAACTGGCTAATTGTATTTCATTGCACATAAATGAACTAGAATGTGTATGTATTAAATTGACGATTTGTTGATTAATAGACATATGTGTTGTACCTTGTATAGAAGAGAAAAAAAATCAAGTTGTACTACCCTACAAATAAATACAATTTTACACTAGTACTATAAAGAAATAACAGAAATGTAACTTGTTAGCCAGATACACGTTTATATACTCTTTGATTTTGACCAACGATTATTCTGTTTGAATGTTGTACTAGTAGTGACGTAAAAATCGAAACAAGGTATAGTGAAGTGTGAATGTACGACAAAATGTTTGACCATTGAATGCTTTAACCACATACATAGCTGATTACTTTAAGTTTACACAAATTACTTACTTACGCCTGTTACTCCCAATGGAGCATAGGCCGCCGACAACATTTAGATATACATAATGGTATTTACAATACGTGAAAATTCAATTACTATTCGTTTTATGGAGGAAAGGAGATCCCTAATTGTAGATAATATTCTAATTACCGGGAACCATAACCCTCTATTCAAGTAGAATAAAGTGAGACTGATAATGAATTGCTGTGAAGCATATATATTTACTAAAATGAATTGTTATAAGTGTTTAATAGCGCAGATATGGCATCAATGGATCGCGATCAATGGATCCCCGTCGTCACAAATAAGTCGTGTAGGTTGAACGCTATATACGATTGCTAAGCTATTCCGATAACCCGCAGTCTAGAACTACACAGCGACTTGAACTCCAGAGAGAAGACACAAGAATGAGAGAAAGCACTTTATTCCAAAGTTCATTTTTGTACAGAAAATCATGGATATTTATAGATTTTGGCGTCTGTTAAATCAACATCATCTTACAGCCAATCCGATAAAAACACATTATGCTACCGACAAATAGTAGCACGCCACGTTGGAATTCTAGAACGCTCCATCACACTTTGATTGGCCAGGACTCTTCGGCTCCTTGTGGGCCTCTGAAGGCTCCGTTGAAGTTCTCCGGAAGCCGACCCAACACCTCCCCCGAATAAGATTTCTTTCTGGGATCCACTTGTAGTTTGATAACTGGATTGCGACGGCGTCTCATTATTCTTGTCGTCTTTCTTGTCCAGGACTTCTTTTCAGTGTTCCTGGGCGTTTGTGGCATTGGTGCGTCTAAGATTAAATCTAACGGGAAAGTCGGCCGGTTACTTCGAGTCTGCACCGTTCTTTTGTCCTTAAGGATTTGATTTGTGTGACGTATACATGTCCCAAAAGCTCCTCGAACTTTGTACAGTACTCTTCCCAGTTTTTGCACCACTTCGCCCGGCTCCCATCGGTTCTTCCCGATGTAGGATTTAATGTAGACTTTGTCGCCAATACTGAAGTTCCGGATACTTGGATCGCGACTACGCTCATCCACTAGTTTGGATGGCAACATGGCATCGAAGACTGTTCGAATACGCCTTCCAAACATGGCTTCCGCGGGAGATTTGCCGTCATGAACATTTGGGTTTGGGGTGGATCTGTATGATGTTAAAAATTTTGTGATCACCTGCTCAGTCGTCCCTTCTCCTCCCCCTTTCAGTAATGCTCGTTTAAAAGTGTCCACAAAGCGCTCTGCTTGTCCGTTTGGTTGTGGATGATAAGGTGGAGAACGAAGATGATTTATTCTGTTTGTTCTACAGAAATGTTTAAACGATTCTGCGGCAAACTGAGAGCCGTTATCCGTCACTAAGGTCTCTGGCACTCCGAAACTGCTAAATAGGGTAGACAACTTGCGGATCGTTTCTGACGTTGTACAATTTGGCATGATGTATACTTCCGGCCATTTAGTGAATGGATCTACGATAATTAGAAACATTTCCCCTTGGATTGGACCGGCAAAATCTGCGTGAAGTCTTACCCAGGGTCCCGCGGGCATAGGCCAATACTGAGGTTCGCATTTCGAAGGATTTTTAGCGGCTTGAATACATGATGAACAGTTACGGCATTTATTCTCGATATCTTTGTCCATTGATGGCCAATAAGCATAGCTACGAGCCAAAGATTTCATTTTACTGATTCCAGGATGGCCACTGTGAAACTGCTTGAGAACCTTGTGACGTAATAACTTCGGAATAACAATGCGATCACCGAACATAATACAGGAATCAACAACCATTAGAGAGTCCCGTCGACGAAAATATTGCAAAAGTTCTCCGTCGAGGCGATTGTTTGGCCATTTGGTCAAGAGATAGCATTTAACTGAGCTCAGTATCTTATCACTTTCAGTTATCTTCTTGATAGTTTCAAAGGTTACTGGGAGTCCATTAACTGCGTCATCCAACACGCGATGAACTTCTTCCTCGGCTTTTATATTTGCTACAAGAGTCTCCTCCGGGGTTTTCGATTGGGAGCCTATTAATCTCGACAATGCGTCAGCTTGCCCGAAAGCGGTAGTAGACTGATACTTGATCTTGAAGTCGTAACCCAGAAGCGTGGTCGCCCATCGTTGTAGTCGGTTAGCTGTATGAACAGGAATTCCTTTCTTTGACCCAAAAACTGCAAGTAGTGGCTTATGGTCTGTTATTAGGGTAAAATGTCGACCATATATCATCTTGTGGAACTTTTTCACTGCAAAGATAATTGATAGGGCTTCTTTCTCGATTTGGCTATAGTTCCTTTCGGTCGTTGTCAAAGATCTGGCAGCGTGTGAGATAGCTTTTTCAGACCCATCAGGAAAAATGTGAGAGATAACTGCGCCCACACCATAGTTAGAAGCATCTGAAGCGACGACTATCGGTAGAGAAGGATCATAATGTGTCAATAAGAGATCGGAAGTTAGGAGTTGTATGATTTTCTCAAAAGATGCTTGGCAGTCTGCAGACCAATTCCATCTTGTATTCCTTTGTAGTAAGTTGTTTAGTGGAGCGCGTAGACGATGGAGATCGGGGAGAAAGGTACCGTAATGACTGACCAATCCCAGGAATGATCGTAGGGTAGTAACGTCCCTGGGTCTAGGCATTGTTTTCACTGCTTCAACGTTCTCTGGATCTGGTCGTCTTCCGTCTTTATCTATTATGAACCCAAGGTACCGTACTTGCTGCATATAGAAGTCACACGTTTCCGCTCGGAGGCGAAAACCATAATCAGCTATGCGTTCTAGTACCTGGTCCAGTTTCTTCTGCAGGTCCATTTTATCTACTACCGTAATTATGATGTCGTCTAGGTAAGCTGCAGCTCCTGGAATACCTTGTAACATGGTATCCATAATTTGCTGGAAAATAGAGGGCGCTATCTTTACCCCAAAAGGTAGTCGGTTATACCGGAACAGACCTTTGTGTGTGTTGATCGTTAAGAGATTTTTGCTTTCATCAGATACAGGGATTTGTAGGTATGCGTCTGATAAGTCTAATTTTGCAAAATATCTGCCACCGTTCAGCTTAGCGAAAAGATCTTCTGGTAAGGATAACGGATACTCCTAACTTCCGATCTCTTATTGACACATTATGATCCTTCTCTACCGATAGTCGTCGCTTCAGATGCTTCTAACTATGGTGTGGGCGCAGTTATCTCTCACATTTTTCCTGATGGGTCTGAAAAAGCTATCTCACACGCTGCCAGATCTTTGACAACGACCGAAAGGAACTATAGCCAAATCGAGAAAGAAGCCCTATCAATTATCTTTGCAGTGAAAAAGTTCCACAAGATGATATATGGTCGACATTTTACCCTAATAACAGACCATAAGCCACTACTTGCAGTTTTTGGGTCAAAGAAAGGAATTCCTGTTCATACAGCTAACCGACTACAACGATGGGCGACCACGCTTCTGGGTTACGACTTCAAGATCAAGTATCAGTCTACTACCGCTTTCGGGCAAGCTGACGCATTGTCGAGATTAATAGGCTCCCAATCGAAAACCCCGGAGGAGACTCTTGTAGCAAATATAAAAGCCGAGGAAGAAGTTCATCGCGTGTTGGATGACGCAGTTAATGGACTCCCAGTAACCTTTGAAACTATCAAGAAGATAACTGAAAGTGATAAGATACTGAGCTCAGTTAAATGCTATCTCTTGACCAAATGGCCAAACAATCGCCTCGACGGAGAACTTTTGCAATATTTTCGTCGACGGGACTCTCTAATGGTTGTTGATTCCTGTATTATGTTCGGTGATCGCATTGTTATTCCGAAGTTATTACGTCACAAGGTTCTCAAGCAGTTTCACAGTGGCCATCCTGGAATCAGTAAAATGAAATCTTTGGCTCGTAGCTATGCTTATTGGCCATCAATGGACAAAGATATCGAGAATAAATGCCGTAACTGTTCATCATGTATTCAAGCCGCTAAAAATCCTTCGAAATGCGAACCTCAGTATTGGCCTATGCCCGCGGGACCCTGGGTAAGACTTCACGCAGATTTTGCCGGTCCAATCCAAGGGGAAATGTTTCTAATTATCGTAGATCCATTCACTAAATGGCCGGAAGTATACATCATGCCAAATTGTACAACGTCAGAAACGATCCGCAAGTTGTCTACCCTATTTAGCAGTTTCGGAGTGCCAGAGACCTTAGTGACGGATAACGGCTCTCAGTTTGCCGCAGAATCGTTTAAACATTTCTGTAGAACAAACAGAATAAATCATCTTCGTTCTCCACCTTATCATCCACAACCAAACGGACAAGCAGAGCGCTTTGTGGACACTTTTAAACGAGCATTACTGAAAGGGGGAGGAGAAGGGACGACTGAGCAGGTGATCACAAAATTTTTAACATCATACAGATCCACCCCAAACCCAAATGTTCATGACGGCAAATCTCCCGCGGAAGCCATGTTTGGAAGGCGTATTCGAACAGTCTTCGATGCCATGTTGCCATCCAAACTAGTGGATGAGCGTAGTCGCGATCCAAGTATCCGGAACTTCAGTATTGGCGACAAAGTCTACATTAAATCCTACATCGGGAAGAACCGATGGGAGCCGGGCGAAGTGGTGCAAAAACTGGGAAGAGTACTGTACAAAGTTCGAGGAGCTTTTGGGACATGTATACGTCACACAAATCAAATCCTTAAGGACAAAAGAACGGTGCAGACTCGAAGTAACCGGCCGACTTTCCCGTTAGATTTAATCTTAGACGCACCAATGCCACAAACGCCCAGGAACACTGAAAAGAAGTCCTGGACAAGAAAGACGACAAGAATAATGAGACGCCGTCGCAATCCAGTTATCAAACTACAAGTGGATCCCAGAAAGAAATCTTATTCGGGGGAGGTGTTGGGTCGGCTTCCGGAGAACTTCAACGGAGCCTTCAGAGGCCCACAAGGAGCTGAAGAGTCCTGGCCAATCAGGGCACTAGGTCGTCCTTTCGTGTTTACGTGTCACCGTCAGAGATCGCGATCGATAAATAAACGCTGCTGATCAAAACCTGCAGTCCACACACGTTACAAGAATTGGCGACGGGGTAGAGAAAATGTTGAACCCTCTAATTGGACGAGATTCAGCATAATTATTTCGACCAATCAGTATACAGATTTGTCATTGGCGTCCTTGGGAATCATTGGTTGTTAATTGATTATCGTATATATCTTTAACTTGCTGACTGAGAAAATGACTATCCTTCCCGATCAGTTGCAGCTACTACTATATCGCCAGCAGCAGCGTTTCAGAGAAAGCCAGTTGCATGTTTTGGACTATTTACGCACGCGGCTGCTAGATCTCCCATGTTTCGGAGATGTGAAAGAAACTGATGAATTCATTTCTCACTTACATACTGAACTCGAGAATGACTGCAGGACATATGAAGATGAAAACAAAAGCCTCTATGAATCCCTTATGATCAGTAATGCAAATGAGGCAGTCGCTCATAATCCGTCCAGCGATCCGGGAATGTTCAGTCCAGAAGCATGCCCTGTTGTGGGTTCAAATCCCACTGTTCCTGAAACGTGTACAGACAGTGATGTACCCAGCTCACAGGAAGAAGATCTCTTATTAAATGCTCATAAATTAATTACAGTCCCCTCTCACAGGGAAACAGGAAACAAATCGTGCAGTATACTGAGTCTAGCTGCTCCAAACGATCCCCATCAGTCAACAACAGGAGATTCTGATGAATCTTATTATCTAGATCCTCTTGTACCAGAAAATGTGTTAGATGCCACAAATGATGATCAGAAGTTGAATACAATTTTGATAGATGTTAATTATCCCAATGATCGACTATCCACAAATGAGATTTTCAAGGAATTCTATGGTAATGTTCCAGAAGAATCGAACATTGATGACCTCATATCAAGCGACGTTGGTTCACACTACTTAATCACTTTTAGTGACTTCTCTGTTCCATGTGACAATTATGTGTTGAATAAAGTCAAATTAATTTTAACTTGGGGATATGAGGACCCAACATTATTTCGTGGGGGAGGATGAACCCAGAAGATTTTAAAATGCAGATATGAACTCCGGATCTTTCAAAAAATAGGGGGTGTTAGGATAGTCGGAAAAATATACCAATAATTGTCGTGTTAAGTCTACGGTGGCCTTGGACCTTAAATGTACATTTCCTATTGCTCGATGTTTATTTCACTTGTTAAATATTTTGTAAATGTTGTTTCCTATTTTATGGTACGATGTGGTATGTTTGATTGGTATATAAACAAAGTATGTTTGAAATATAATGATTCATAACTCAGAGGCTGTGACTTGTGTTCTTGACTCAACTGGCTAGGACAGACAGCGAAGCAGGGCCAATCAGGGCACTAGGTCGTCCTTACGTGTTTACCATTCACCGTCACAGATCGCGATCGATAAATAAACGCTGCTTATCAAACCCTGCAGTCACACCCATTACAACACTGGTAACATTAATCTTCGAAACAAATAGAGAAAATTAAAGGTGCACCATACAAACTTGAATATGCTGTAAATGAGTTCAACACATTTTTCGGTAGAGTTTCGATCTCTGAGCTAACTGTGACCAATTCTGGAGTATGCTATATTACGTCCTCGTTTACTAGTCGTGATTACCACTCGGAACCCAAACAGGTGGTGTACATCTGTCAATATAACTCAGATTAATAGCCAACGACTACATTTTGGTTTGGTCATTATTCTATGCGATTCGAACAACAATAAATACTAAAAAACATGTTTGATTGACAGTGTACACACTATTGTAACACACTAGGAAAGCTGAATGAAAAGGTTTCAAATTGTATGGTTATTAATTGTTAGTCATTTAGTCTCGACAAATACCAACAAACTAGATAACGATATCCTTAATGGTTTTAACAAAGCTAAATGCACAACACAGTAACATACATAAAACTAAATAAAAACTTACCTAATGAATTTATTACAATTTTAGAAAGTCTTAATGTTGGAATCAATAATCCTGCCCAATTAATTTTCATTAATTCATTCTCGTCTATTTCACAACCAGGTTCTATCATTATACTACTGATAATGGATTCAATAAAATCCCAATAAATAGAATGACCACTTTTCCCAAGAGTGGGAGACGATGATGATGATGGGTAGGAGAAGTAACGTTGAAATTTAGACGAACGGAACCAGATTAAATCCATTAAATGATTCGATTCATTTGACCGATTCGGATAATGATGGTGACTGATGTCCTGGTATTGTTGATTATTATTATCGTCTTCACAAATATATAAACAATCTAGACCGTAAGAATAACAATTAGCTAAATTTGATGATGAGAATACATCACAATTGGCTAGACGATTTATGACTCCATGATTAGCTAAAATCTAAAAGCATAAAATAAACAAACATGTATACAGAAGACAGTAGTGAACATTACATAACACAAACGGTAACCTATCAATCGATCGGACAATAATAGTAACTAATTCTATACGCATCGTTACTTTCATAAGTAAATCACAGCTAACAAAGATACTGCTGCATATGTGAATCAGATCAACTTATTCTAAGAAATTATTTCAACCAAATGAAATGACCTATTAGTAGATGTAATGACGGTAGCAGTGGCAACAGAAAACGCTAGGCATGGACAACGTGAGTTAGGGGAGAATTATTGAATTGATGGAATGAAAAAAGAGTATAAGACAACTTAACAATTGAATATCTAATAAGAGGTTTGTAGTGTTCAGTACCATGTCAAGCCCACATGAGTTATTCCAGCTTCCGGGCAAAAGACTTTATTCATTCTTCTGCAGTCATACTTTGACCTTCTCAGTTTATTCGCTTATTATATGAGTGTATGCATGTGAACCGCTTATCTTATTCACTACGTATCTGTAGCTTATTTTTTGTCTAGTTATAAATATTGACTCATGCTTGATCGCCTTCTCCACTTTCCATTTTCAATGTTCATCTAGATAAACGAGTGTTTAAAATAAATTCATCCCAGGCAACTCGTATTTGACTTCTTACTACCGCTATCACACAAACAGGGGTTAGCCTAGGTTAAATAGTAGATTTATTCGTTCTTCTAAGTGGGAGTTAAATCAACGAGCCATTAAAGGACAAACAGTGGATGTATAAGCCTTATATTCCTACTGATCCTAAATCATATCACACGATATCTTCATTAGTCAGTTATAATAATCACGTGGATCGCAGCAACTAGGTAACTTCTAACTATGTACACGACATATTCTAACAGTCAGTAAATAAATAATTAAAATTCGATTCAATATACGCCATATACAACAAATTATTCTAAACTTACCTTTGCACCAGTAGGATAACTGCCTATTCTGCATAGAATTGACATTTTTGACTGATACAATAAATATGATGACATAATCGATGATGAATTCTCATTATGGTAATGATTATTATTATTGTTATTATTATTTGATTCAAGTGACAAATAATTAGAACGATTTAATACAGATGAATAATCTTGTAATTCAGTATTGACTGAAGTAAGAAATTTACCTATAATTTGTAAATCTTCAATTATAGTATCCAAAATATGCTACGATTAGAAATGATAAGAAAGGAAACAATGAAGGAATTTATTTGATGTGATATTGAGAAAGAAAAGTTTTCGGATATTTAATGTATCATATAATTAAAATAACCCATTGTGTGATTGAATAAGAGTAAAGAGAATTCATGTTACACAAAGTCACCGACCATTGGTTACGATAATTACATGTATCCTAACCAGGTAATATCTATGTGTCTACCTATATGGCTCAGTTCAATAGTCAGTATCTTGACGGATTGATGCCATATCTCCATTTGGCATCTTCTAGTTTACTTTTAACCTACTCCTACATTAGTCATGATCGTGCGTCAAGGTAGTCGGTGTACGGGGATCGGTAATACATGCAATAATCATCCAAGTCGATAAAGATTCACCACGCTATCAATTGATTTCCCATACCTAAGTTAAATCCTTATAAAAAATTCAAAAACACATGTATAAATAGTTTTCAAATAATGACTAGTTGTCACTCACGTTCATCTTTCAACATTTACAATCAAGCAGTCTTGCTCCCATATTTATTTCCATTGCCGAAATTATTTGGTTTATAAGTTCTATGGTAAACAACTTTCATTAATTCAGAAGGTAGAGACCATTGTGATGGTATTTCTTGAGTTTATCTGAAGTTCAACTCGCGATAGGACTTAATCATTTTATTAAGGAGCGTAAATACAAGCGGTTAACATATAACAGGGAAATTCTTGAGAATAAACGTACAAATGGAAAACCGGTAGCAGGACAGTTTGAGTCACCTCATCCCTAGTTTCTTGAGTATTATTAAACGACTAATCCAGTCCAACTTCATACAATTCAAATAATCTTATTAAACTTTATATTTCAATGAAAATGATATGATGAGAAGATAAATTAAAATAAAATCTAACCTGAATAGTTCCTTGATTGTCAAGATATGTAATTAATTGTTGAGAGCAACGATCAAATGAAATTAACAATTCTAATAAACTCATTGCAGCCAATTGAATCATTGTATGTCCATGAATTAAATCAGTGATTAATGTAGAATGTAATTGATTTAAATCAGAAGAATTTAATGCATTTGAATGTATTGTATTCAAATTGGTATTAGTATTAGTTGAAAAATTAAATATGGAGAAGCATTCCATTAGAGAAGTGAAATCAGTTAATGATACTTTATCATCTTTCAAAGATTGACCTAATTGAAAGAGTTAAAATTTTATGAATAATTAACAATATAATGTATTCAATACTAATTTAATCAAAAAGGCAGAAGTTAAAAATAATTAACATCTCAGAGATGCACCAAATAGATGTGCGCCACATAAATCATTCAATTTATGTAAGGGCTGGGATACTGTGCGGGTGCTCGAACCGAAGCAGGTGGTTTTCTTAGGGGGACACACCTGGAGCCTTTGACCTAAAAGTCTAATCCACAGAACAGTGGAGCAACGTCAGGAGATGCAGTCCCATGGTAGCCGATGACCAACGCCATTTGTTTCCTTAGGATCCTTAAGCCTATGTACACCATTGTTTTGGAACCAGGGTTTTCAAATTCCCCAAGGTGAATCCTTCGTATTCACAGAGAGTAAGGATTAAATAACTTAACATAATAAGCAGAAATCTTAAACTGATAGGTGATAATAGGAACCAAATATGTAATAAACAACTTGCTAACATGAACAGATAGATCAATATAAGAAGAGTAGGTCAAAGATGAGGAAAGAAAAGCAAAACAGTGTGTAGAGAGATTTAGTAATAACATCTGTTTTCTTTAACCATAGAATGAACCAAGACACAAAAGACTTCATTTTATATAATAAATTAGGTTTGTTGACTTGAAATCCTATAGCTTTCATTATATGTAGAAGATAAAATTATAGACTATTGAGAAGAACTGAAAGGTCTATCTGCCACGTAACAAAGATCAACATTAAATGATAAAATAGAATTGCGTATATATGGTGTTTGAACTTTTCGAAAACATGACAGGTGATTTTTCATAACTAGTTGGTGAAATTGTCACGTAGATCATCACACATAGTATTCTTCATAGTAATACTGATAAATATGCAATGAATTGATGAAGGCAAGTACTTTATCATTTAACTGACCAATGATAGTTGGTTAACCAAAGAAGACTAACTGCAAAAAATGTCATTACATAGATCTAGCTAATCCATCATGTAGGATATAGCTAGAAATACCTCTCTCGATTGAACTGTAACCGGACGAAGAGAGGTTTGTAACGAATATTTCATGTCTCTGAATTCCTGCATATATATATATATATATATATATATATATATATAGAGAGAGAGAGAGAGAGAGAGAATGTCATTATTCTTCACTTACCAAGATTTCGACAGAAACGTATCACATAGCATAAACTTCCATAGTAATTAGCACGCATACGTTGTGTTGAAGTTTCTAAATAAACGGGTGACAAGTACACACAAAAAAGGGGAAACATAAATGATCAATTAGGCTAAAAATCAAACATAAGGTGTAAATGGAAATACGAAAATAACTAGATTAGAACTTATGGTAGGAAGTTACCATGTATATGCATGGAAAAATGAAAATCTTAGGTGAGATACCTGAGGATAGATTGTGGTGAGGAGGAAAGGTGACGACTCTTAAAACGACTATGTAAACCATTACTGCAATGCTCTTTGTATAGAGAGGTTTATCCATCAGATAGAGTAAATATTATACGTTATAACTGCCACTGAAAGATTTCCTACCGATTACTTTCAATCAGTTAACATTTAAATAATGTTTAATGCAGCACTAAACAAGGAATGTATAGTCAAAGGGTAATTACTGCAATCAATTTAATAATGCCATTATAATGTATGTGTTCGCTGAAAACACCAAACTTCCCAACAGACTAGGATGCAACGACGATATAACTATTACGATTTTCCAATTATTGATGCTGTTTTAAATTGTAGGAAAACGTACTAACGACATTTCATTACAGACAGAGCTATCTGTCTTCAATTGTATGTACATCTCAAAACAGCACTGTGGTGATCATATACGACTTTGAATTGATCCCATGTACATGTGAAATTATGGCAAAAAGCAACATCACAAATACATAATGATAAATACAGTGAAACCAATGCACGTCAAAAACGAAAAACTTACTAGTTCTAACAATTGACTTAATTAATAGTTCCATCACTGATATAAGTAAAGGAGACCAATGTTTGTTATAGACACATTTATCTAATCCACTTGTTGGTATTTCTGAAATATTTGGTTTGGATGCATTAACATATGATGATTGACAATGCAAAAATGAACATAGTGTCAAACTGGTACCACTGGCTAATAAACGAATAGTTTGTGGAACTTCTTTCATAGAACAAATCTAATAGGAATTGCAACAAGAAACAAATAACAAGACAGGAAAATACAGCGTCATAAAAAGGTTGTAATATGTAAACTACTACAAAACACAATTATTCACTACTCATATCAGTTATTTACAAAGCTTAGGAAGGTAAAACGTCACTCTTACCTGAGATAATAACAGAATAAGCACATCTAGACAAAGAACTGGAACTGGACGAAGTTGAAATTTATATTGTGACATATTATTTGGTCCATTACCGACGTCAATACCATCACCATTATTACGTAATAGACTGAATAATTCCGAATATAGATAACTTGGTACAGATATCATTGATTGATTTAAAGATCTTTTTACTGTATTATTATTATTGCCACTATCATATTGTCCTTGATTTGTCATTAACCCTAAACTAATCTCAACTGCTTGTCGCCATGCTTCAATAGCTAATTGTTTACCGGCATATAAATGGAGATTATGTATATTCCGTTGATCTATCCATTCACGTAGGTCAGATATTTGTTTTATTAATGCAGATACTGTTGTTGTGGATGATGATGATGATGAATAAGATGTGTTGAATACTTCTAATATTGATAAATGATAAGCTGATCTATTAATATCAAATACTTGATCAAATGTCAATGTAATCAGTTTGTTTAAATCTTCATTAGAATAACTGTCTAGATCGTTACGTGCACTGATTAATTTCATGAATAGATTCATTAGGAATATTTTAAAATGTATCATAGTTGATAATACTTTTGTTGCATTGGAATCTGAGCTTAATAAAGGACAATCGATTGATGATTTTGTCAATAACTGGAATAGAGAAATAGAGAAGTAGTTGGGGAATAAAAAAAGAGACGACAAGAAAATTGAGGATGTGAGCTCAACATTAAAATAAATAAGTACAGGTTTTAACAATCGGTTTACAGTTATATTTTTGCATGTCTTAGTTGGTGACAACTACTAGTCATGCGTCTAAATCCGCATGGTGATCCAGTAGTTGGATATTTCAACTAGTAATCTGATAGCTTGGATTTAGTGGTTAGGGTTACCTAGCATGACGTAACTCAGCCATATTGGACAAAACATTCGTTCCTTGAAGACCTCACCATCGCAGACAGGTCAGGTTGAGAATGGTAAGTACTGAAAGTAACAACTTAGGATCAGAATGCAACGTTGTACAGTTAACTTTACTAAGGTATAACAACAGAAATATGTTTGTTCCAGACAACAAACATCTTCAGCAAATAAAGAAGGAACGAATTGAGCGAAGAAATTTCTTTTCAATTAGTTTTTCATCATGGCTCAATTCGTTCCTTCTTTATTTACCAAATGGCAAAATGGGAATTTTCACTATCTTCAGCAAAGCCGAATTCTCATAACAGAAAGAAAGAGATTAGAGAAGTTTGACCATAGAATTAGCAAACCTTAACTTGCCAATAGATTTGAATTGACTATAATAATGCCAGGAAAAATATGAAGCTAGCAACTCAAAGACTGCTAACATAAGAACTGTATGTGTTCGGATTCAAGTAATTATTCGTCAAGGTTTACAGTCATGTTCCCAGGTTGACAAAATTACTAGTAATCATAAGAAAAAATATTTGCTACTAATTTTGAACGTTACACACAATATTATTTATTTATTTATTTTAACACATAGATATTGGTACAAGGAGGCACTAAATACATATGCGCCACACAAATCTCATTCACTATATGTGAGAGGGCTGTGATACTGACCGGATGCCCAAACCGAAGCAGGTGGTTTTCTTAGTGGGCCACACCCCGAGACTTCGACATGAAGGTCTCATCCACAAGGCAGTAAAGCACTGTAAGGAGATGCAACCCCATGGAAGACGGTGATCAACAATTGGTTCATACGCCATTTGTTCCCGCAAGATACTGGAGCCCATGTGCACCATTGGTTTGGAATCCGGTTAAAGCGCCAGACATTCGCTTTTCATCCTTCCATTTTCGTAAATAACACCCCCGCCACTGGAAGGCAGTGAGTAGGACTTCCGTGGCAAAGGCTATATACGCGTGGCCACGTGAGAGCATTTCGAGAGGGAGAGCGGACTCTCCCCACTCTCGGCCATACCAGGGCATTTGGGGGCACACACAATATACGAAGGCATTTGTATTGAGCTTTTAGTGTAATATGAGATAAAAATTGTTCGTTTTTGAAATATATTACTTACTTCATGCAGAACATTTGAATTGAACAATTTCGATTCGAATGGATTACAATCATTGACAAGTTCATTGGATGTGTTTAAAATTTGCAAAAAATTCACAAGAACAGAAGGAGCTGATTATAGAAATAGAGGTGAAAAACGGACATTAAATGTAAATTAGTTATGCAGAATTAAATAATGAAGGTATTAGAAAAAAAAAGATAAACATATATATGTAACAATAATAGTTGCCTATCTGATCTGTTTGAAGAAGGATGAGAGATCAATAAAACGAAAATCGAGAAATGAAAGATGGTAACAATAAATTAGCAGTTAAAGGTATTTAGATCTCATCATTTAAATCTAGTAAAAATTACTTGGTTTATTGAATTCACATAAAAAAATGTATCCCATGATAGATTACAATTTAAGAGTTTACATAACAGTTAACGATTCGTGTTCCATGTGAAGGGTTGCGGATGAGCATTGATCACTAGTCCCATACTAGAATGAAACGGACATCCAATGCTTTCAGGTTTTCAATCATGATATAATATTCATCCATTCATGATATCAATATAAACTCAACAATTTCCACAACCCTCTATACTGATAGTTAACGATTCGTCAATAGATTCATGAACTCATGTCGTTTCTTTATTTGGTTAACCAAACATTCGTTTAATATTCTGTAGTAGCTAGCCATAATTGTATATATGCATAAGAGGTGGTAATAAATCCATAATATATATTACAGCCATCGGGATTGATGAAGATTCAAAACCATATTCCAAAACTCATTTTAATGGTTACAAATATTTGTAAGATATTAGATAAAATAGCTTAAATGTATTCAGGATAGAATGACTTATCCATTGATTATTTTATTTTAGCTTGTTGTGTATGTCCAATTGTAGTTTTTCATTGAAATAATAACATCATCTATGCCATTTCCATGTGTATAGCATTTGTCATTTGTTTCAGCCTAGATTCCATGACTGAAACCTTTTAGACAGCTGTTTATCATTAGATGATACGTTCGTTGTGAAAGAAACAACAAAGTCAGGATAGATAATGAGATTAATTCGTTAACTGTGAATATAATATTCGATCTTGCTCGATTTCATGTTAAGTACAGCATATACTGAAGCTTATTCATCAGTAATTTTCATTTATTAAATATATTCTGATACCAATTTAAAGAAAGCTTAGTAACTAACATTATACGCGTTAGTAACAAGAGATTCAAATGATTAGTATACCCTAGATAGAGTTTGAACTTATCACAATTTCAATAAATCATCCACTTAGGAAAGGAAGTCATGCAAGGCAGAATCCTGGAGTAAAGACATGACAAATATGAAAAAAAGCAGACATATGCAGTAAACATCTAAGATAATTAATTTTTTTTAAGACATCTTACACATCTCTGTGATATCGGACTTTAAAACACATGATCGCATATTATTATTATGTAACCAACTACAATGTTTAAACAATTCATTGCTTACATTCTTGTGATTGATTAAACGACAAAAGAGAATTATCAAATAGAAGATCTGAAAAGAAAGAGAATGTCAATATGAGATCGAGAACAAGAAAGCAAACAATGATTGAACATTGAGAATAAAATGTTCAACTTATTTAAATTATTAAGATCACTTGAAATTTGATAAAGCAATTCATCATTATACCAATTAAAACAACTATGGTATTGACAGTTTTATGTATTTTGGATTGAATCGTATTTTAATCACCTTACGGATTCGAAGTATACTTTACTTTACCCCTTGTGGAGGAGCATAGGCCGCCCACCAGCACTCTCGATACAACCCTGTCCTGGGCATTCCTTTCCAGGTCTTTCCAGTTGTTACTCATCCTTTTCATATCTGCTCCTATTTCCCGACGTAATGTGTGCTTTGATCTTCCTCTTTTCCGCTTCTACCAACGATCGAAGAGATCAGGATGGCTGTCAGAAAAATCAAGAGCGGGAATGCAGCAGGACCCGACGACATATCAGCTGAAGCACTGAAGTCAGACATCGAATTAACTACAAACATGCCCCACCTTCTATTCAAGATTTGGGAGGAGGAACAAGTGCCGATGGACTGGAAAGAAGGACATCTCATCAAGATTCCAAAGAAAGGAGATTTGAGCAACTGTGAAAACTACAGAGGCATTACACTACTGTCATTACCAAGAAAGGTTTTCAACAGAGCGTTTCTAAACATTATCCGGAACACATACGACGGACTACAGCGCAAAGTCGTGCATGGATGACATCTGACAGATGCATTCCAAGTAAGGACCGGAGTCAGACAAGGTTGTCTACTCCCCCCTTCCTCTTTTTTCTGGTGGTTGACTGGATTATGACAACCTCAGCATCTGACGGAAAGCACGGAATACAATGGACAGCTCAGGACCAATCAGACGATTTGGACTTCGCAGATGATTCGAAGTATACGGTGACTTTAACTTGAATTTTATAATTTGAGTTAACACATTCACATTTATGTAACAAATTTTATATATGTTGTGGTAAAATAGTAAGTAATGGAATTATTTATCATGATAGTTCTATTCTACACGAGATATTGTCTTTAGTTCTAATAACATAGAAGTATATAGTTATTAGATTGTGTTTTTGTAATATTTTTTTTCGAATAATTCATTTACCAAGCACTTGGGTTTGAGCCATATTCTAAGTGACAAGGATAACGATACTGCCAAGTTGATTAAAGCAAATCAGATGGAGGAGGGTTTGAACTTGAGACTTTGGCTGAAAATTACTAAGGTTAGGATTACTACTGGGCAGTTTACAGCTCCATAGAATAGTACGCATGGTCAACTTATTCGGTGATCTAATCGAAAAAATTCAATTGTCGATAGTCTCTTTAAGTGAGAAAAAACAATAAAAATAGTCAACCCTTGTTAATAAACTCAAACAAAGATCTTACCACCAAGGAATAATTTCAGTAATCTAGTTACATAGGAACGTTGATTAGCCATAGCACATACACGTATCTCAATGGCGTACAAACGAAGGATCCAGTTTTTACGATTTAATGATAAAGCTTCAATAACTGAAATATAAAAAAAGTGTTATGAATAGATTAGTTTGATGATGTGACAAAGTACGAGATAAATTTGATGCAAATGTCTATAAATTTAACAAACTCAAAGGGAACATTGTAAACAATAAGGCCAATAAACATTATTCAAATAAAAAATCTAACATGGTATTTACAGTGCAGAATGAAGAAAAACAGTATCTCATAGTTACACAGGTACAAAATTCAAAGCGTAACAACGTATTTGAATTTGAGAACAAACTAACCTGCTTTCTGTCGATCAGTGAAATTTTCACATACATTGCCATCGAGACTTGTAGACAGAAGAGGTTGACAGAGATCAGAATGTAAGTATTTAGCTAATAAATCATGATTGCCACGAAGAAAACGTAACAGAGGTTCCGATGTTAATGAATTCGATCCTAATTTATATAAAATTTGCCAAATTAATGCCAAATTCCATTGTAATGTACAAGAGAATTCAAAAGGCAATGTTGTTATAGACTGTAGCCAATGCGTAGTACTATCTATCATATCAAGCATACTATGTAAACATGTTCGTTGTTGGTCAGCTATACCAGCATCCTAAAAAAAATATTGTTCAACGAGACAGTTTAACTAATTTTAAAAAGTGTATTATTTGTTTGCTTAAAACATTAGATTACAAAAGTTACAAAATGTTGATACAAGTTAACTACAAAGCTATGGATAAAGTTTATTTTCACTAATAAGAAGGTTAAATATATCATTTTCAGGAAAAATCCCATAATCTTTTACCAACTAGCAATAATAATTATTATTGGCATCAAATTTAGTTACTAAGTGTATATGGCTAAGTACTTGGCTGTAAGACACTGTTTGTATGTGAGAGCTAGTTTTATTGATCGCTTGACGGGGAAGTTTAAATCAGAAAATAAACAGTCGAGATCCGAGAGAGTTACTAATATTGCTACATAGAATCATAGCACTAAACAGTACGAAACAATGTACGACTTAACATGGCCATGCATCGTTCGAAATTAAAATAGTTTATCATAGTTTGATTCAGTAATAAATCAAACGTGGAAAACACCCATACATCTAACGACATATTCAGGTGACGAGCTTATGTTGAAAAGATAGTGCGTCCACAAATAACCGTAGACTGTTTTAAAACTGAACTAATAGACTAGTTAATAGTATGGATCACGTAGAATGATAGACACAATAACTTCAAATGAATCAAAATTATTTAATAAATAATATCACTTCTTGTAATTTATCATAGTACTTAACTAAAACCACAAAAATCTCACAAGATTGATCTCGTACTGAGTGATTTAATTAATGAAAACATTCAAATAAACTAGTATTGTTTAGAGGAAGACATTGACATAACACCAGTATATTCGGAATGCGCTTCTCATTTTGTAGATGCTAAGGAACACATTCGTCCCAACGCGTAGGTTGATCATAGAGTGTGAAGTAGTTAAGTGTTCTGTTCATTTCACCCCTATTAGAAGTCTCACCAACCCTAGTGGGTTTAGGGGTAGGGTAATACAGGGTAGGGTAATACAGATTACACTTACTTGCATCATTTGTACTGTAGACAAGTTGAATGAGGCTAGTTTGAAGCACCGACAGTGACCAGTGAAGTGCAACCACACCGGGTGAGACATTTACTCACCAACGGCAGTGGAAGATGATCGTGAAATGTCGTGGGCTGATTGGAATTAAATATTCACATCACTGGATGCCAAGTCAGTGATCTATAGGTGCCGAGTTCGATTCTTGAGTGCGCACTCGTAGGTACACACTGTCGCGCCCAGTACTAGGACGAAACGAACATTTAGTGATCCCAGGTTTTCAATGGTCGTCTAAGGACAGTTTGTGATATAAGGTCTATGAAAATTCGATAATCTCCACAAAAACCCAATATTGATAATAAAAAATAACCAATAATGTTCAAAAAATTGGATTATCACCTGTAAATTTGATCGACTAATGGCTTTGCAATTGTCAACACAGAAACCACACAACCAATGAGCTAAATTAGGAGCAGGATGTTCCATTACAGCTAATAATATTTGAAGAAACGATATAGATATTGGTATGGAATAAGTATTTACAGTGACTTCTGTATTCCGCAAATGAAGAGAGAAAACGAAAAATATAACAGTAGAGTAATACATAATAAAAGCTAAATAAGCAGTAAACTAAACATTGGAAATGACAATCGGTTAATCAAAAAGGACAGTAATTTTAAACACTACATAATGTATAACTTATTGACTTGTCACTGACTGATGTAAGGTAAGTAGAGATTTAAAATCGCCAGGATAAAAGAATACATCTTAAGGAAGGCACAGGGAGGGTGACCAAACCCAAAGTCATTTATTGTTAGAGTTAGTCATGTTGGTAAACACAAACCAACCAGTTGCGGTTTAGTATGATAGCTGTGTTCAGTGATTGGAGAAGTTTGGTGGTATGACTTAAAGTAAGTTTCAATGGTGCAGATATACTCAAACTTAGCCTATTTCTAGATCTTGAGTTTAAAAACTGTTTAATGGCCTTTATTTTGTAAGCTAATTCTTGATTCTGAAACCGTTTTTATAGTGGTTAGTCATGCTCATTATCACCAATACTAAAATTGTTTAGACTCAGACTATGCATACAGTTAGTTTTATTACATAATGCTAATATCGTGTGGTGATTTGGGATACCACATATATGTACAAGCTGTAAGTTGGTGCGCACATGTATAACAATAGCAGTGATGTGAGCTAGGGACTTTCAAGTTTGTTGAGAAGTGTGATAAGTTCATATCATTGAGTGCACATTTTCAGTTAATGTTGGTCTAAGATCAGTTTTTGGTTTAAAATATTAAAATTCGGCGAGACTACAACTTATGAACGAACCAATCAGATTTACGATAACAGGTCTTGGATTTTAGAGCGAAATTCTTCATCCAATCAGCTAAGTAGCGTTTTGGCATTTTAGTTGATGTCAGTTAGTGATGAAAACCCTAAATCTAAATCCTAACCGTTACCATTAACTATAAATCATAATCCCTATTCTTCAAACTGGTTTATAACCCTCATTTAGCCTTAGTATGTAGATAGATATTTTCAAAGTCACTTTATCGTCGCTCAAAGGTCGTCCATAAATTATAGTCTCACCGAAAATTTCACAACATTCAAAAATCCATCTATATTAAAACCATTTATGGTAATTGGTAATATAACTGTTTAGTGCATGAAAATGGGAGTTAATTATAATTAGATGATAAAATCCAATATGTTTGAATTATGACAAGTCTTTCTTGACTTAAAAGCAGCATCTCACTCCGTAGACCACGAGATTCTGTGGCAGTGTCTGTCATGGAAAGGCGTAACTCAGAAGTACATAAACCTTGTGAGGGCTCTTCATTCGAACACTATTAGTCGAGTCAGAGCTTATGGAGAACTGTCATCTGCTTTTACAACCTCAAGTGGTGTTCGTTAAGGCTGTCCACTATCTCCATTTTTTTCAACCTTATCATAGACATACCGATGGAAATAACGTTCTCATCGACTGAATTCTCGGGCATTGATAATCTAACGGGAAGTTCACTTATCGACTTAGAATACACAGATGATATAGTCCCGTTCGGTGAAGACGCTGATAAAATGCAGTCTCCTGGTAGCACTAAGCAACAATGCCAGGATATTTGGGATACACTTTTCCTCCTCCAAATGCAAGTTGTTGCTTCAGGACTGGTCTGCGTCAACACCTGAATTAAGGATAGGGAATGAAGTAGTCGAACGCCTCAACAACTTCACTTATCTTGGAAGTCTGATCAGTCCAAATAGGTTGATATCTGACGAAATCTCAGCACGGATTCGAAAAGCTCGTTTGGCATTTACCAACTGAAGTCATCTATGGCGAAGGCGAGATATCCGTCTACCAATTAAGGGACGAGTATACTGCGCGGCAGTTCGTTCTGTCCTTCTTTACGCCTGCGAAACGTGGTCATTAAGAGTAGAAGATACTCGTAAGCTACTGATATTTGACCACAGATGTCTTAGAAATATTGCTCGTATCTGATGGGATCACCGAGTAAGTAATAGTGAGGTTAGACAAAGGGTATTAAGGAATGACGGTAAATCAGTTGATGAGGTTGTAAATCTTCATCGACTGAGATGGTTGGGCCAAATGTTCCGTATGTCTGAACACCGATTACTACGACGCGCAATGCTGTCTAGTGTTGGGGATGGTTGGAAGAATGTTAGGGTCGGCCAAACCAAAATGTGGCATCGGTCCTTGAAGTCACTAACTTCTAGTCTGAGCCATATTGGTAGATACTACTAGACTACTTGTTTGGGGTCCACGTGACAATCGTAACCAATGGTTGGAGATTGTGGATGACATGGCTCAGAATCGATCACAATGACGTAGATGTATACACTCCTTGTCTTCCCTTAAACTAAGAGATTAAAATCACTTAATATCTTTCTTTCTACCAACTAATTCTTCCTTATATGCAATCTTTCTTTTATATATTACTATAACTGAATTAACTACTTCTATGAATCTGGTGTTCATCTTGTTGTGCTAATGAGGTATGGCAACTTGGACCGATGCTATATGTGCCTGTTCCTACGTTGTAGCTGCGTGAGTGAGTGAATGACAAGTATCACCTTTCAAAATCCTGTACAGAGGTAACTAGTTACCCATAGTGAAAATAAAATCAGTTTAATATATAAATAACTCACGGTAGAACCAATCACCAAATGCATGAATATAATAATCATTATTATTCAATCGATTATGAGTAATTCGTATATCTGTCCATTCAGAGAAGTATGTATTCAGATATGAAGCGCAACGTTCCCATATTTGACTAGGAAAATACCAATTATTTGTTTGTAATGGAAATGCTGCATCAAATCGAGCAGCATTAATCACTGGTGATGGTAATCTAGATGAAAATGTACCGACACTATGTAAACATAATTCATTGTTATCATTATCACCATAAAGCCATTCATCAGTGAATGCAAAATGACCTTCATTGTCTAAATTATTATCTATTGGAATTAAACTTGAACTCATATCTACATTCATTGGCCATTTGATTAAATATGCAAAAGCACCAAGTAATTGATTTCGTGTAGTCTATTTAAATGAAAATAAAACGGATGCTTATGATAAACATGTTCAGTAGATCGGTAAATATAATCTATAGATCTAAATTAAATGAACTTTTAATATTAAATGTATACACATATATGTTAACTGAAAATAAATCTCACTTCATCAGCTGTAAGTAATGCTAACAGATCCGAATGTGGTTGTATTGATGAAGCTAAATAACCGAGAATACTAACCGCACATGATGTATGATCTGGTAAATAGTCTGCTAGCAAACAATATCTAAATTGAATCGATGAAAAGGAAAATTTACAAATTAGAATTTAGAAAAGAAAGAAAATTGTTTCGTCTGAAAAAAAACAGAGAAAAATAATGATATCATAAAACTAAGTATGTAGAAGATAGCTTGAAGATCAGTTCTAGCACAAACTATTAAAAATAATGGTGCACCAAATAGCTGTTATATCTTAGTCACTTATTGGTCTAGGGGTATGATATTTGGTTCAGTTGCAGGTGATCTTCTGATTATCCCTTCCCTGCTTTTCCCGACTGTAGTTGCTGTCAAGATGTCGTGGTCGAACTTGTTTTTCCTCATGACCCAAGCGGGCTGTATTAGATAGAACATGTTTTTTAGACACTAAAATGCCAGAGGTCGGGCAGACAACAGTAAGACTGAAAGTAGCAAATTATTTAGTAGTGCGTTGGAAAACGAATGAAAGCATAATATTATTCTATCTATAAGTAGTAATACGATTCAATTAGATATAATAAAGTGGATGAAGGAATGTGATGTATGGGATTTACTTAAGATTCTGTACTTTGTTTAATTATTATTAAAAAGAGATAGGCACAAAATAAAACTTATTATTTAATGACTTCATATCATTTATTCTACAGAACAAGGCTATACGTGTCTCCTTATTATATAGAGGTTATTATTATCTAGAGGTTAAGCGTTCGCGCGCAAGGCCGATAGGTTCTGGGTTCGAGTCTCGCGGGGCGGGATCGTGAATGAGTACTGTTGAGGAAACCCACACTCGAACGAGACGGCCGTCCAGCGCTTCCAGGTTTTCCATGATGGTCTAGCTTTAATTGACTCATGAACTCAACTATTAAATTAGTATAATATCGAAAAAAAAACCTTTCTGAAAATAAATAACCACTTACTTTAATAACATTGGAATAAGATCTGCTCTTCCAGATCCTAAATTAGTCGACATTAATAAACGTGAAACATATACAGGAAGTATAGTAAGACCAAAGGAAGGAACATTTGGCAATGGAACAGAAATATTCGACAATGGTTGTACAGATCCAATTCGCGGTCTACCAAAAATAAAAGAAGAAATAATTATTATAATAAAGTATGTTACAATATGGTGTGATAAAATTATCATAGAAATTATATTTTAAAACAAAATATTATTGTAAACTATTCCAGATGAACTTACTGAATATTAGTTGCTATACGTCGAACAAATGTTACTAAAATATCTTCACTAGCCAATAGTCGACGTATTAAACTAAGACCAGCATATGTTGCACGAGTCATTGAAACTGGTGGACCGTTAGGTATAGGAAATTCTAAATGTCTATGTAGGCCTACTTCTAAAAGGCCGGTAACCTAAAAAGAGAGAGATATATATATTTAGTGAGAGTGCATGATGTAATTTACAGTAGTGAAATTTTGCAGTGCTAATTGGTAAAAAAAAACATATGAAATAAGTTTCAAGTCAATATTTATGTATTTAAATAAATAGTGCACTGGTATGGCCGAGGGTAGGGAGAGTCAGCTTTCCATCTCGAAATGCTCTCACATGGTCACGCGTATACAGCCACTGGCAGGAAAGTCCTACTCATTGCCTTCTCGCAGCATTATTGTTGTTTACGAAATTGAGAGGGTGAAAAGCGAATATCCAGTGCTTTAACCAGATTAGTGGATATGGATGATCCACCTAGGGGAGTTGGAAAACCCTGATTCCAAACCAATGGTGCACATGGGCTCCAGGATCCTGATGGAACAAATGGTGTATGAACTAATTATTGGTCACCGGCAACCATAGGACTGCATCTCCTTACGTTGCTCCACTGTCTTGTGGATTAGACCTTTAGGTCAAAGGCTCCGGGTGGGCCCGCTTAAGGAAAGCACCTGTTTCGGTCTGGGCACCTGATAGTTTGCGCAAACTTCTGGTGCACTATTTTTTTAAATACACATTCTTTGTCATAAACTCCAACTTTAGACTGGTGCTAATTATCTAATTACGTTTGGTCTTGACAAGATTATAGAAAATATATAAGGAAAAATATAAATTATTAATTACCATTCTGAATAAAGATGAGTCTGTTAACAACTGAGTAGCAAGATGATAGCCTGGATCAGTGTATGGCCAACCAACAGGTAAATGTAATTGACTTATTAAAGCTTCTAATGAACTGATTGATGATGACAATGTAGCATGTAAATGACGACCATGAATTGGTTGTTGTTGTTGTTGTTGCTGTTCTTTGCCGATTTGAAACAATACATTCAACAGATATGATGCCCAGTCAACCGACTGACCGCTGATCACATTAGAATTTTGCTTACTATCACGGCCAACAACACCCACTGTACCAACACCAGTAGAAGTAGACATAGTAGTGAATAGTGCATCTAAATTGTCGACATTTTTTTCATGACTAGAAGTCATCATAGTTGTAATAATAGCTGTCGCATTATTTAATCGATTTAAAAAATCATGAACAAGTCCGTCGAATAGAATTAGACAAGATGCTGCAATATCCCACTAAACAGAGAGATACATTGAGAGAAAAAAGTAAGAGAATATTGAAAAGTTGGGCATACCACTGATGGTAAATTGTAAATGAGGGGAATGTGTAAGTTAATCAGTTAATAAAAAACCTGACATAAGATATGACCTCAAGTTGCAAATATTTTGCATACTTATGCCTGTTACCCCCAGTAGAGGAGCATAGGCCATCCAACAGGATTCTCCATAATTTACATAAAGAAAAGAACATTCATGGAATACATATAAAAAATACACATATTCTGGACATTGGAATCGTTTAAAACCTATATAGTCATACGAGGTATTTAACAGACTTATGACTATTTCATGAACTCTAACTAGAATGAAACAGATCACTCCAACAGTCCATGAGTCATTGAAGTAAGTTATATATCAGTGTACAACTACTCTTAGTCAACTTCTGATTCGTTCCTACGTAAGTCAGTATTGCAAGACCGGAAATGTGATGTTTCAAAATAAAACCCAAAAACGTCCAGTTCTGTCCATTATTTCAGCTAATCGCTCGTTTTCCAAATTTTACACATTAGTTGACAAGAACGGCTATAGTATACTCGGCAGGATTTGAATCATACTTCTGATATAAAACCTTTTGATACTAAAAGGTTTTGATATTAAGTGGTTTTGAGATGGTCAGTACAGAACTTTCCATAACCTACGTTTCGTTTTGAGGCGTCATCACTGGCTGACCTATAAACCTGAGATATTTGCACAAACCAGTCACTGAGTAATGCCCAATATCATGTTTGTCTAATACTATTTAGTGCTGATAGAATTCTATCAATCAAAATTTAATGGGACTACTAATTTAAATGACTCAACATTGCGTGCACTATGTTTTGATGTCAGCTAATTGATCGATAAAATTCAATCAGCACAAACGACTAGGCAAACTTGGTATCGCATACTACTCTTCATGTCCCTTTCGCCTTTGGAGATCAGATAGCATTTTCCAACAGAACAAAAGTCCATTGAATGGAACTAAAAGTTGTAAACTCAATAGAGGGAAAAAATCAGTAAGTATACTAAAGGAAAACACAACATATAAACAAACATACATGAATATTGAAAAAGAAAACTTCCACTATCTTGTGAATCAGAGATTTTAAAAATTTGAAGCCTTTCCAAACATTGTCTTCTTAAGACTATAAAGTTTGATATTTACATCACACAAAAAAAATCTTGAACAAAAACACTTACTCTTTCCAATGGATTACGATACGCTCTCATAGTATGCCTTAAAAATATTGTATTAGTGATAAATGATGTAATTGAAAGAAATGCGTTTGTTTGAGAAGGTATATTATGACTAGTACCAGTTAATCCAAAAGTGTCCATTTCTTTAGTATCACCAGATCTTAATAAATTGTTTGGGATTTGCATGGGATAATTGATCAATTTTGGGAGCATAACAGTTATTAACGTAAGAAAAGCATTTGTCAATGGATATTCTTCAGCTCGTGGTTCCACTTCATCCATATCGGTCTGAAAAAACAATGGTACCATTAATATGTAAAATAAATAATATCCTAGAATTTTGTACATAGCATTTAAAGAAAGATAACAACCAATAATTTGAGAATGAATTCGTGGAATAAAAAGTATTAGATTTATTTAAAACTCAGGGAAAATAGTGAATGTATTTGAGGCACTATGATAAACTCCAAAGCATGTCCCTCAGAGTCTCCAACCATTAATTATGCTTATTTTGTGGACCTTCCCTCGATTTGGGCACCCAGCAGTATCACATCTCACATACAAATCCAGTGACTTGTGTGACGCATATGTATTCGGTGCCCCTTTGTACCAATATTTATGTGTTCAATTTAATGAGTAAATAAGTCTTGCGAACAATGGCTTAAAGGTTAAGACGTCCATCTCCAGGTTAGAACCCCAGCCCACCTACTTCGACTAGGTCAATCAGGTAGTATCATAAGTCTTCACATTTAGAGTATGGCTTATTTTTAAGTATCTTGTGGATGAGTTAATTTAATTAGTAATTATCGAGTGAGCCCTGCTTAAGTGGTCTATACCTACCAAAACGCTTCAATTAAACAATCAATAACTTCAAGAAATGACGCCATTTTCAGTCTAGTCACCTGTAGATTTCTTTTAACCTACTCTAACGTCAGTGAACATTGTTAGCTGTGGTAGGTGGATGTTAGGCGTATGCAACATATGTCCCAGTCACCACAATCGGCAGTTTTAGTATTATCAATTAATATGAAGTGTTTACCTATTACCCTACTTCTAACCTCAACATTTCTCAATATTAGGTTGTTCTAACATAACGTAATTGCTGGAAGACTTTATGATGAAGTTTTCATCGTTCTTCTAAACGATATCATCAGCACAAACTTTAGGTAGATGTGAAGTGTTCGAATTTCTCCACATATGGCTCACAGCTCGTCCTGTAGACCTCGATGTTGATTGGTTCTTGTTGACCTTAAATCTGTCATTGTTTACTTCTTTGTTTTGGTTATATCTCCCATTGGAAGACATCAATCTATGGTAATATACTAGTAACCGATGAATATCCCCTACTTTTAGAGAGCAAGTTTCGCAGTCACAACGTAAAACAATGAGGACTGGTGCGTTATTTCCAATTCTCCATTATTTTACATAATTCCATATTTTAGAGTTGCATACTTGGTATTTTTTAGATATGTTTCATTGAGAAGCACAGAATTCTACTCATTATAATATAATCACAAAATAAAAGAGATGAAATCTTTTAAAAAAACACAAAAGGTAACAATTAAGCCAAATCAATATGAAATAAAGTTAATTGGTCAGTTAATCATTAGACGAGGTAAAACATGAGACAACTGTGTACTGGATCAAGTTGTTGTCACATACACATCAATATACCAAGGGAGAGGAAACAAATAGATATGGAGGAATGTAAAAGTTACGCAGGATAAACTGACTTAAAATTTATTTGTACATATAAGAACGAATGCAATTGAGCGCCACTATGATATAATGAATGACTGAAATTCACAACTGAATAACTTCTGAATATTTTGTTAGGCCTTAACCTAGATCGAGACAAGTTCTCTCCTGTATATTATTGGGTAGACAGATCAATGGCCCATTTTTAATTAATGTAATCGAGTAAAAATCAAGCGGACGTTTGTGTTACCACATACTTCTAATTACACTTTTGAAATTTATCTCAATAATAGTTTAATCCGGCTGTTTAAAATAAAGTAGATCCAGTATTACTGAAATACGTGTGTCATCAAAACAAATGGAAACGACCAATTTAACATCCAGAAAGTTACAACTTATCAAACAAATCCATAGAGAGTGATAACTGATTTACAGGTTCTTGTACTCAGCTTTGAGCCACACTTTGTATGTGAAGGCTGGATATATATATATACGCTTCTGACCAAACTGAAGAAGATATAGTGAGATATGAACTTGCAACCAAGTAATTGAAAACTAAAGGCTTTAACCACACCACGATTTCACAATCAATAACGATTAATATCAGAATGGGTTTTGTGGAGAGTTTTAGAAATTTCACAGGTTGAAATCAAGCGTCAGTTGAAGCTAGACCACCATTGAAAACCTAGAAGCACTGGACGGTCCCATACCAAGACAAAACGGCCGTCCAGTGCTTCCAGGTTTTCAATGGTGGTCTAGCTTCAACTGACTCATGATTTCAACCTGTGAAACGATTAATATTTTAAATCAATGAACACAAAAGCATCTAAATAACAGAAGTTAAACATTACTATAATAGTAGGAAACATACATTTAGTCCGTGAATCGACTGAGGTTGATTAGGATGACGTTGTACGGTAAAAGGTAATAGCTGAAAAATAATATTGTTTTAAGAAAGAAAAACATCGGAATTTATTTCAGATTCTTTATGAAAATTTAATAAAATGAGCAAATAATTACTTTGGAAAATTTGAAAAACTGATAGTAATAAGTCAGTTAGTTACAACGTAGGACCAGGCAAATATATGCATCAGCCCACACCTCATTAGCGCAACAAGATGAACACCAAATTCATAGAAGTAGTCACTTCAATGGTAGTAATGTATAAAAGAAAGAGTTATTAAGACATATCTAGAAAATATATACACATAAAAATGCCCAAATTAAATGAATGTTTTACTCGAGGAACCTATTTTGAACCTACGATCTTGTAGTGACCTACTTTTATCAAAAGAACACGATTAGTTTAATGGAAATAATCATTATTATAACCAATTGTACCAGAGATTGTTTTACTGTGCTTGTTTGTTTAACTGTACTAAAGACAGCCATTACTCCTCCATTATTCTTCCGTGGACTGTGACCTTGTACGCTCGCACGTTCGCCCATTGATTCCACTTGTGCTTCCTTTGGCACGATCTCGGTATACTTTCGATACCACGAGATCGCCAACGAATAAATCTGGTTACGATCACCTTTCGCCTTCTGATTTTTCTGGTACGCGCTCAACTTGTAGTGGTATTCATAGTCTATCGCGACTCGATTCCACGCTACAATCTCAATGTTTGATCGACATGATAGTAGAGCAATGTCTGGAAATCCAATCTCATGGTAACCAGTGACCAGATTACATTTATACAACACTCGTATATATATATATATATATATATATATATATATATATATATATATATGACCCAGAGGTGCATTTTGTAATAATAAACTCACTGATTACACTTAGTACATAATCAACGGTTTAGCAAAGCAGCACGTTATTTAGTGTTTGGTAGAGGTAATATAAGTAATCGTTTGAGTAATACATTTCTATCTATCTAAAGTTTGGTAATTCTAACTGGGTGTATAAACCTCAGAAGGTGAAATGAAATTCGATTCTGCTGTTCATCAGTTAAGAGATTGATAGGCTACCCTCAATAAGCGCACCCGACAGTACCTGTTACCTCAACCTTGTGGTCGCGTTTAGTTATCTCGAAAACCCAATAGAGCTATATTGGCTATAAAACTCGTTCCTTGAGGTCATATCACGCCACACAGGATGGTTAGAGAATGGTAAGGCTAAAAGCAATAAATTTGTGTTCAAGAGCGAAGTGGTACTGACGACTACATTAAGCTGTGACGTCATTAGCAACCAGTATCTTCCATCAAGCTGTCGGGCTCGAAAACGCTATATTTTTTACTCTGACCCACGGATTTCTGTCACCAGTGATAAGGCCTTCAAAATACATAGCTAATACACCCAACACTACCCACAAAAAAAGCCGTGTAATCAAATGCAAGTAAATTTTATTTGGGCTCTGGTGTCATAGTCCCAGGTTATCTGTAGCACTATTACTCCAGCTTCCTTTTCGGGCAATTCAAGGAATAAATATCCTTTCACGATATGGACAACCAGAAAGTGACAGAACCGTAATTTTTTGATACACAAAAATACTAGCCACAACATAAAAAAGACTCACTTCTGCACTGACAAAATGTTGCCATATAACTGGAATATTTTGTTGACTTTTACAAAGTTCAGTAAGCAAATATAAGATATCAGCTTTCAAATCTAAAGAAACTGGACAAGTTAGAAAACCCATACACATTGGTATTAGCTGCCATTGAGGATTTGAAATGAACGTTGAACGTGCAACTGGATCCTAATGGAAACAAGAAAAGAACAAGAGATAGACACACAAAAAACTTGAACAATTTTGCGTAAACGCAACGACATAGCGAGAATAAAAAAACATTGGCAAATCATGAACGGAACAACAATAGGAAATAATAATGTTGGGATAAAGCCCAATATATAAATACAAATAATAATAACAGTGATTGTGAAACGAGCACTATTTAATCAAGAACTTTTCATAAGAAAAGTAGAGGAAAAATAAAGACGAGACAGTAAATCATATTAAGACTTTAGATACATGTGATATCCGTGGCTACTATTCACCTATGCAATTTCCATAATCTTACCTAGAGAATCGTGATAAGTCTACAGACTCCAGTGTAATCAATCTTTAGTATATGCAATTCTTCCTAATGAACAGGACAGAACAAACAAGATATAATGAATTCAAGTTATTCCGCTACGTTTGTTTTACATTCTCTATTCAATGTTTACGTTACGCATTATTTTCTTAAGGCAGTTCCAAAGTTGACTTTACGAAAAACCTGGAAACGACATACAATAAACACGTCCATCTTAGTGAAGCCAACGAAAAACACGATATATTAGGATTGAATGCATCGAAAACTATGTTAGCATAGCCAAATTCCAGTACTACACATATTTTGTTTCCTTGCAGTACACAGACACTACACAGATAACAATAATTGGAAAGGTATTAGAAAATAGCCAGAAGGAAAATGGAAAGACGAAATTTGAAAGTGATCAGAATCACCAGCTTTGACAGAACTGTTTATTAAAACAGTCTAAATTAAAACTATTTGGGAGAAAACTATATACCATTCGACAAATACGAGCAACCAATCTCAAAACAGCCTGTAGACCAGCTTGTTCTTCCGGTTGAATGGAACGTGGTTGAATATTCATAGGTACTGTTGTTGCACCAATATCGGATGAACTGGAACCTTTTCTGTGACCATACATAGACTCAGTAGTTGAACGTGGAAAACCTGACACGCGGGAACGGGGAGTAACTCCATCATTGAAATAAAGATGGGGATACAATTGATTCGAAGCTTGAATTCTAAAGTTCATTGGTTCTGGTTGTACAACAACCTGTTTCATATGGTTTAAATATTGACGAAAACTGTTGAAAAAATGATCCCAAGTAATTAACGAGGCACCACGCCCTATTAATAAAAAGACAAATGAACAATTATCCTATGAGAAATCCAAAATTAAGCTTAACTATTACACCAGCTATACGAGATGAAACTAACAAAAAGATCAACGGAATCGAAATAATCAAAGATGCATTAACTGTGAGAAAGGATAAAGATGGAAGAATATAGCTCAAAAGATAGAATGAAAAGGTATGTATGGGAAAATTCTTAAACAAAGCTCTAAAGGAAGATAAAAAGCGAGTGTATTATTTTGAGCAGTTAACAAGTTTCGAAACCGGATCTTGTGAAGATGAATGTCCGGTTAGTTATGTAGGATTATTGGTCCACTCAAAATATATATGGTTTAAAGTTCAGCAGATAAGTACTCGCACGGTAGGTGTATTGGTGGAAAAATTGTAACAGTATGAATGAATGAGTTACTGTGTACATTTTAGATAAAACTTAATGTGTTAGTAAAATTTTATGTAAGGCGCTTCGTCTAAAGATTTTAAACATAAAAAATCTCATCTGTCTACTCAGAAATTGCAACTACAGGCAGTTTATCAACATAGAAAAAGATGTGAACTTAGGATAATGAGTGACAAGTTTTTCCCAGCAAAAGTCTAATACTAAAAAAACTTCGATATATGATCACGACCACTAAAAAGTAATTCAAATTAAAAACGTAAAAAATACACGTACCAGGATTAGTAGCATTTGCTTTGAGAAGACTGAAACAAAGACCAGCTGCACTACGAGAACAGCATAAACCATGTAGCATACGTAAATAAGGCAGAAATAAACAAGGCGCTGTGACCATATCTCCAGCTAATCTTAAAAAGCGAATAAGGGCTGCCTACAATAAAATATAAACAATGTTTATGTAGATTAAAATTAGAAATCAGTCAAACAAGATTTAATTTTTGAGAAAGAATTAGCGCATATTTTTCGGCATTTTTTGTAAAGCTGACAAATTGAGTGCTCCAATACAACTTATTCTCAGTGGTGCTCTGTTTTCAGCTATATTATCAGTCAGTCATGGAATATGTCACATCTCAGACTCAAAGGTTTACATACTCACTTTCGAGCTACACTTTGTACAAAGGCTGTGAATACCTTTCAGCTTTTTAAACTGTAGGTGTGAGATGCTTTCTGCGTCTAGACCGAGATTTTGTCAGGTATCAACTCACCAAAGTTCATAGGCCTTTCAAGATAAGTGGAGTTCACGACACAATCGACTAGTGACTGTTGCAAACCACTATTCTGTCCTTAGTTACGTCACTTCCTCCCTATATTCAGACCAGGAAATGGTGCCGACTAACTCTGAAGAAAAATTTAACATTTAGAGAAGAACTTATTTGAAACACTTTCTTCTATTGATACGCAGGGTGTTCAGGAGACATAACTTTATTACCAATAAACTCTTGGTCAATAAGTGAATCTTCTGATAGTAGATCGATCCCTAAAATGTTAAAAGACAACCAATCACCTTTCGAAATACGTCGACGATGAGATTAAATCAAAATAAAGTGAACAAAGCCGATGAACATTAATTGATTTTGACAGCCGAGATAATAGTTCCCACTAAGTCATAGTTCAACAGAAAATGCCAAAGTAAAGAGCCTTCAGTAGGCTAATATGATTTATTGATACCTACTTCAATGACAGATGATACTATAAGACCTCTAAATAGACGGAATCAAATGCCACTCATAGTAGAGAAATATGGTTATGGTCAGGGGTTGGCAAATAACCCCTACGTCGTCGAAAATTGACAGAGTAGAGGTTTGATCGATATAATTACGGCCAAGTTTGGAACTTACTTGGTTTTCTGTTCCAGAGCTCCATTTAGAGGTTTATTGATAATATCTTAAGAATTATTCAAGCAGAACTAATTCCCTTTTAGTTTTTATGAGAGGATTTTTGCTCTTTCCTTTAAACTCGGACTATCAAAGATTGAGGTTAGGACAGAATTACATTAAGTTCAGTCAATCTAACTAATAATACTTGAATATATAAAGTTAATGACAAAATAATGGTATAAAAACTAACCTGTCGAATGTTATCAAGTTCTGCATTACGTGACTGACTACCGTAAGTATGGAACTTTGGTCTAGGAGATTTATCAACAGTACTTGGAGATAATAGATCATTTGAACCCAACGCTACTGGTGCAATATTAGTTAGCTCACCAACAGGCCACCAAAATTCCAAGCCCAATCGACCATGTAGACGAGAACCAGGTTGATTATAAAGTTGAGCAATCAACAGTAAAAAGTTTGCAAAACCGTGCCCGGTAGACGACGGATCAAAACCTGTAGACCTAAGTATATCTTCATCCCGCAATCGGATCTCCTTCACTCGTACTGCCATGTGCACAATCAAGTCAGTAACAATACAATGCATACGATACACCCAGAGAGGCTGAAAAGCAAGAACAAAACGTCTCAAGAAACAGCCAAAAAAGAAGAAAAGCCAGTCAGTCGGCTACAACGTAGGACCAGGCACATAGATGCATCGGTCCAAGTTGCCATACCTCATTAGCACAGCAAGATGAACAGCGGATTCATAGAAGTAGTTAATTCAGTGATAGTAATATATAAAAGAAAGATTGCATATAAGGATATAGTATGGGAAAAAAGAATTAGTACGTATAGAGAAAGATGTGAAGCGATTTTAATCTCTTAGTTTAAGTGAAGACAGAGAGTGTATACACCGACGCCATTGTGATCGATTCTGAGACATGTCACCCACAATCTCCAACCATTGGTTACGATAGTCACACGAACCCCAACCGAGTAGTCTGTATCTACCAACATGGCTCAGACTAGCAGTTAGTGACTTCAAGCACTGATGCCACATTTTGGTTTGGCCGCCTCTAACTTTCTTCCAACCATCCCCAACACTAGACAGCATTGCGCATCGTAGTGATCGGTATTCAGGCATACGCGACACGTGGCCCAACCATCTCAGACGATGAAGATTCACGACCTCGTCAACTGATTTACCATCATTCCCTAATACATACATACGATGCAAGTCCCCATTTTTGAGAAAACGTTTTAACATACGTAGAGCCCTTCTAAAATGAATTTAAGGCTTCTGATACTATACTCCATTTCTTAAATCGAACAAATAATGAAATCTTCCCAGTGCTAGTTGTTTTAAACTTCATTCAAAATTATTTTTCTAATATGCAAATTATATTTGATCGAACTGCATTTTTATCATTTAAAGTAGTTAATGTTTTGATGAAAATTTCTTTAATACTATCCATATAAGTGCTACTTATTATAGAAAAACTGAAAGTAATTTAAGTGGTGAGAAAAAACACTTGTTTTTAGTTATTTTTGATGAAACCAGACATATTCAACCAAGGACCTTAGATAAATTGAGAAAACTATTATTTGGATAAGGTAACAGACTACATAAGCTCCTACGAAACATACCTCACGTTCAAAGTCTGTAGTGTTCAAAATTTGTTTGCGAGCAAATTCAAGCGCTCCAGATTCAATAGCTAAAGCAGCTTGTAATTCATCTTCTTCATCTCCGCCAATTCCAAAATCTTCTTCATTGAGTGCTGCAAGATCTTTTCTATTAGCCACAGTATAAGGTGTCGATCTGCTAACGTCAACTGTCTGACGGCGGCGCAGTTCAGCACGTAAATGACTTGTTCTTCGAAGGCACAATGCCCAAGACAATCTTATAAATGCTAATAATTTTAGCCGATCCGAATCGCTCTCTTCGGTAAGGTGTTCGAATAAGGATTTTTGGTTATCTAGTAAACGTCCAATACTAGCAGCAAAAGTGCGGTCGGTGTAAAGCGGATGAGTCCAATCTATAAAAAGGTGATTGACGAATATAAAACGTTAGGTGCCAAGTATATTTGTGAACCAATTATAAACCATGCTATATGGAATGTAACTGGTTTGTTGGAAATTACTAATTACTACATTAAGATAAATAAACGTTACAGAATTACGAAAACCAGACTGTTTCTTTTTCATAGTTTTGGTAACTGAGATAATTATTTCCTTTTATCGCTTGATGGCTGTGGTATCTTAAGATGTTTTATTGTTTCGGTCGCTATACTCTCTCTACAAACTCGCACGTCCTGTTGAATAAATACTATTCATCCCAGCAAAAGCATGCAATTTAGACTCCATGAGTAGACGGGTAAGTCGATAACTCTTAAATGACCTTAACGTTAAATTACTCAAAATAAATGATAATATATTTTTAGCCATTGAAAAAGTATTGTAACTAGTTTCTCATAGGTTAGAAAAAGCCCTGAGACAGCCAGATCAAGATGTAGTATCCATTCATAAAGACAATGACTTAGTGAGGCGGATCAGGTGCAGATCAATTGACATGAGTTCACAGAATTAGCGGTTCGAGATATTGGGCAACATGAGTCAGAACTGGCCGCAGTAGAGAAGATGGAAACAAACTTTCTATCTTCCTCCAAATCTTGAGTTTCAGTGGTTCTTTATACTTTTTATCACCTTATTTAATTTCTACTCTCTGTACTACATTTTCGACCCTTAATCTATTTTGAATCTCACGGATACTACTACACCTGAAAAAGCAGAATAATCTAACAACCACAAGTATATCACTCCTTTTTAGAAGTAGCATAAAATAGAATAGTCTACAGATATCTAAGAATATCTTGAAATTGATGAGTATAAAACAAACTCAGTCCCCTGAACGTTAGTCAATATTTTGTATGTTATGATACAAATTAACTTCGACTTTTTCTTCGGGTCGGAATAGTCATTGTAGAAATAAGTATTAACTCGACTAATTACACTCGTATAGCTGAAGATCACATGACTTATTGAGCCAATAATAATAGTAATAATAATAATAATAATAATAGTCTCTGTAATTCTGATTACTGAGAACGGTACACTAAATAGTCGGGAATATAATGAACAAAAGCATTACTTTTAGATCATTGAGCTGGTATCCAGTCATCAAAAACAAAATATCTTAATACTAAACATTTGGAATCATGTTACTAACTTCGACAAAAATTTAGTGGTGAAAACATGTGAATGGCGGAGTTCGCCTATGTTGGAAGTAATTCATCACCGATCCCGATGAATGGTCGTCGCGCAGTATCGTAGATTAATTAAAGTTAAGAAGTGTGAAACACTAAATATCATCTGTAGTCAAAAGGTGAGAGACCTGCAAATCCTTAAGTCCCTAAGTAAAATCCATCCCAAAGTTGTGGGTTCCCACCATTGAAGAGTTCCACACTAATATGGAAGTTGTGAAAACGTCCCTCGTTTTCAGTCCTTGTCTATCTAAGGTCAGTGTGTAGTATAAACTATCATCCCTATAGAATCAAAGTAGACAATGGTAAATATATGCATTACCCCAAGCACCCATACTACATTTTCATGAGATGAAATTAAAAAGATTAATAGCAAAGCAGTAGTAGTAATGAAAATGAGAAAGATCGAACATTAGAAACATGTTTAAAAAGACAGTATGAAAGGGTATATATGGAAAACTCTAGACTGAGATAAAGAATGAATACACATGTATAATTGCGACTGAATCTGAGCTGTTACACGTTTCCAACTACTGATCGCCGCTATCACGTGGACCTCAATCAAGTATTCTGTATCTATCAACATGGCTTAGACCAAGAGCCAATTACTTTACAAACGGACACTACGTTTTAATTTGACTTTAGGTTGGACAGATATTAATAACAGGTAATACGATTATTGTGTGATACTTCAGCAATTAGTGGATGTAGTCTAAAAAATTCACTGTCTGTTTAAAACAAAGAATAGAAAATATTCTTAGCTTATAACTAAATATAATCAAGAATAATATAGGTACTGAGTTTTAAACCACTGACTAAACTGAGTGAACTAAAAGCAGTGGGCACAAGGAATAAAACTTCGTTTAATTTATTTTACCAATCAATACTTCTTTCTATAACAAGTTACAAAGGCTTACCAATATCCGTTAGATCTGAAACTTGATCCGCACATAATGTGTTTGAAGAAAATGGTTGTAAACAATGCAACAAAGACATAAGTAGATGCATTCCTTCTCTAGTCAATTGCCCATTATTTTGGAACGTAAGTTGGGTTTGATTGTCATTGTTTTTTGTATCAGACCCTTCAGGTGTTGAACTGAGTAAGCAATCCAAAACTAACTTAAACTCGTCTAAGTTTAGGACACTTTGACACGACCATAACATAACACATTCAGCTAGACCTTCAGATATATTTTTCAACATCATAAACACATCATGTCGGTGCTTTGAATCACCTAAGACTTGTAAGCTTTCCAAACGAGAAAATTCTTTATACACGGAGAATGATCGTAGGACACCTGGGGATGGAAATACAGAAAGAAACCTTGAGTGAATTCACTCATTAGGGGAATTAAACAATTAATAAACACGATTTTAACTTCCAAAACTCAGCACATTCTCCTATGAAGTGTTCAGTGTAAATTAACCATCACATGTAGGATAATATACCAGGTATTTACCTAGGACTAAATCATATCATGTTTGTCTACTAGAGGTACAAAGTAACAATTAAAAAATCTTGTTAATATTACATGATTACACTGAACAAATACGCTTCGTAGACAATACATAAGACACTGAAAATTTGGGAAATATTGTTATTTTCCCTTAATACAATAAGTCATTTTCGGGAAATTAGCATTGCCACTTCTAACAATAAAATAAAATTTTTGGATGACAAGATAGTTGCTAGAAAACTTAATGGGACTATGTTTTGGGAACACTAATTGTACCGTGCTCACAGTTACTAAGCTAACAGAAGTGAGTGGAAAATTCTTGCAACCACTATTCATCCACTCGAACATCCAAATGCAGATATACAGGGTTTAATAGTATAATGGAAACCCACCTAAGATGTTTTGGAATAGTCCATTGGCAGACAGTTCATCAGTAAATGAATGGACAGCTTGACAAATTTCAGCTGATGTAGAATTCGACCACATCCGTCCATCACGAGCACCAATCAAGGTAACCAATGTGTCGATAATGGAGAGGTGAGACTCATAATAGAGAACTACGGCAACAAAACCTCGGCCAAGACGAGGAAATAAGGATAGTTGACTTTCAACTAATAGATTATTAGTTGATCATTAAAAAACATGTACCTGTTAGGCAAAGCTCTACAGCTCTAAGTTCATTGAAGTTGAAGACTTCACTAATAAACAGTGACTCCTGAATTATATCCTCCGACAGTACCACCTTATGTGGGAACTCAGGAAGCATAACTGCCGAATTATTAGCATTTTTAACAACTTCATAATCACGTTCATTTTTGCCCTGTAAAAAATGGTTAGAATCAGTGAAGAATTACAGGAAACGAAAGCGGAGATAATAGTAGCTGTTTGTGTTTTTGAAGACTGTTCTCCATTTCCAGCAATCGGTTGGCTTTCCCATTACATACTACATCCCAAACAATGCACTTGAGTGATTTTGCAGAAGACCACATGCTAAACTTTGGGAGTACTGGAGCGCAGAGCTTTGAATTCCCGGCAGTATTAAATCCTCAAGGACGACCTTCATTCCTACCGCACCGTAATATATTTAGTGGCATAATGGTCCAAATGGTTCGGGGAGGAATGGAAGAAGCTTCCGTTAAACGCGCTACCTTGTCTAGTAGTAGTGGATCACCGAAGCCTACAGGTAGGAATCTATGTCTATTTAACGGTAAAAGAGAGAAAAATACTAGTGAATCATATTGAGATACTGTCCTTAGTTATTAAGAATATGTCAAGCTTCCTCTTGAAAGACTTCTGATGGGTCTCTTTGACAAGCTCAGCCAGCAGAGAGTTTCAGAACTTGAATACTCGTAAAGAGCAAAGGGTGTGCCTACAGCTAGTTCTGTTATGTCCTAGGGGTGTTACTCCAAACGTTTATGTTGAAACTGAACTTAAGTAGGCATTCCATCAAATGCTCAGGAGTGTTTAGGATGCTATAAGTCAGTATAAGGTGACCTATGAGATCTCTATACTCTACGAGTAAAGGTTCAGTGATTTGAGGTGGTCTTCGTAAGGCTTGATTCCGTCTGTAGCGCTTCTATGTTTACTGTTGGTCCTAAACCCGCATGAAAATGAGGATTGGGCATAAGATGGGTAATCCCATCCCGTAGAAGAAATTTTTGCTGAAAAACACTAACCAAATTAAAAAATTAAACCGTTTAAACTCTGTCCTTGGAGTTAAAGGAAGAATTATGACGCCTCATGATGAAAGCCGAGATTCTTCGGAGGTCACGAGGTTGACGCCTCTTCTAACAACCAGAACAACAACTTTTCTGAGTACACGGAACGTCCGGACAATGTAGAAGGCCGGCAGGACCAGTCAAATAGCTTTGAAAGTGAGGAGACACAACTTAGCAGTACTCGGAATCAGTGAAACCCATTGGATCCAAGTTGGATAGCAAAGGTTAGATATAAAGGAGAGGCTTCCGTACTACGGTGACGAGGAGGGGAATGGTCGTTACATTCAGGGAGTTGCTCTGATGCTGTCAAAAGAAGCACATAATGCACTTATAAGATGGGAATCTCACGGATCTAGGATCCGTAAGCATTCTTTAAAACAAAGAAGGAGGGAATCACAATGAATGTTACGCGCCCACCAATTATAGCAACGACAACAATAAAGATCGGTTCCACGAAAGGCTGCAATCAACCGTAGAGAATCGCCTAAGAAAGGACCTGAACATCCTAATTGGAGACTCAAACGCCAAAGTCGGGATGAACAACACAGGTTATGAAGATATCATGGAATGACATGGACGAGGAGAAAGAAACTAAAATGGAGGAAGATTTGTAAGTCTATATGCATTCAGTGAAATGGTTATAGGTGGCGCAATATTACACACAATCACATACACAAAGCTAGATGGGTCTCACCGGGCCATAGCACGGAGAACCAGGTAGGTCATATTCGCATCAGTAAAAAGTTCAGGTCAATGGAAATGAGATCATAGCTTCAGATTTTTGTGGGGCCCTTTATTTTGTCATCATTTAGATCAAACGATGTTGTCGAAAGGGCTCTCCACTATAGTGGCCCGAGATCTGACTCCAATTAGATCGTATGAATGTTTGTTACCGCCTATCCTCGTATATAATCATCGACTTAAATCGCGTTAGTTGATAACGTATTTAGATAAGTCAAATAACGAGAATGGACTTGTCAATACATATATTTTGTATATGAAGCGAATGGAATAGAACGAACCAAAGCGACGCGCAGTGGAAATGGCGGGTAAGCCAACTCTCCTTTAGCCAAGCATTAATCAATATTTATAGTTACACAAAAATAAGTTACAGACATGTAGTTAATAGGATAAGAAGGGCACACACAATACACTCATATAAAAACAGTCAAGATTGATAAGCGAATAATTAACAAGGTCAGAATGTGACTCAAGTAGAATGAATAGATTGGGCTGTTCGAAAGCTAGAATAAGGTATATGGGCTCAGCGTAATAACCGACACTACAAGATCACCACCTGGTTAGGGCCAAGATGAAACTCAAGCTGAGGAAACACTGTACAACTGGAGAAACAGCAGTGCAGGTGTCCAACACAACCTACCTTCCAGGTACTGACGAACTGAACCAACTGAAGCCTCTGACGGTCACACGGCTCACTAAGGCAAAGGGCTCTTAGCAACAAAATCACCCGAGGCTACTTCGTGTAAGACTCACTAACGCTACAGACGTAGAGGATATACTACTATATAGTCAGATAGGAATATAAGAATACTACCTGATACACCGTATTATGAGCGCAGTCTCATCCGGAATATCTGTAAGGAATCTCGTGGGAAGTCTTTCCGCGGAAGAAATATCATTGTGCAAGGTGTACCGGAAAACACGAACCCTGACCACACTAACTCTGATATTAGGGATAGGAAATTCAGCAAGCAATCCTTGAAGCCCTACAACATAGTGACTCAACAATTGACGAGACTAACCAAGGACAGAGATTCTAGACCCCGGCTGATGAAGATAATCTTCCCATCTTCCCATATGGTGGCTGCAACTTTGGGAGGACTTCGTCCCCACAGACCCCGGTTGCCACCTGGAATCCATATGATCCCGGATAAGCCACATGACTCCAGGATCAAGCACAAAGGCAAGATGGAGCTCACCATTCCGCTTGTAGACTGTTTCGATATTAAAAAATGTGTAAGGGACGAAAGCTACCAACTCGGAAAACTTTATATAGGTAAGCTACCTGTCCATGCACATAAGATCCATACAGACAAAAAGAACGGGGAAGCTCATGCGCTTCAAATTGAAATCATCGCGCAGTATGCCAATATCACTTCCATACTCAAGGTCGAAAAGCATTTTTCCAGGCAAAAGATCCACACCACCATTACCTGCATTCATCAGAGTTGTTTCCAGAATGTCATCGATAGCAAATTTGAAGAGGAATAGTAAAATTGGGCGAACTTGCTCAACCCTGCTGGTTGTATACTCTCACTCTTCGTGAGATAATTGTATACAGGGCGTTCAGGATGTAAATAACCTTGTCAGGCACACCTTTCTTCAATAGACAATCCCAGAGAACAGTCCTATCCAACGAATCGAAGGCAGCCCTGATGTCAAGAAACACTACGATTGTTGGCCTTTGATAAGTATGACGGTGTTCTAACATTTCGCGGAGGGTGAAGATATGATCAATACATCCTCGACCAGAACGAAACCCAGCCTGCTCCTCGCGAGTCAATCTTTCTCGGGTTTTGAACAACCTACGAAGAATGACGGAAGCCAATAGCTTGGACGCAATCAGAAGTAGACTTATCCCACGTTAGTTTTCATAGAAACAACAAGAACTATTTTGCTGCTTCTAACTCTTTGTCACGCACAAACCATCAGGCTTTTCGGTCCTTACGCAAGCTTAGCACAGTTCAGTTACGTAAAAATCTTCGTTTATGATCTGACTCGCGGTCACCCGGAGTTGACCGACAGGCTTCACTGAGTTGTATGGAGACTGAAGGAACCCAGTGCTTATAAGCGGGTCGTTTCGCGAAGCCGCAAGCGAATTCACTCGTCATTTTCATGGCGTCATGATATTGCAGCCAATGCTCATCTGTACTTTTCAGTGATTTGATAACTAACCTTGAACCTATCTCGGTTTGATATTTGGTTGCAACAGAAGCTGCAACCAAGTTACTGACATCGACTCGTTTTAGACGGTGAGTTTGTTGGCCAATGAAACGTAAATTGAGATTAGAGCAAACAAGGGCATGATCAGAGTAGAGATAGGTACTCCAAAAGGAGCGGTAGTCTTGCACACAACCACACCACTGGCAGCTGTTCGCGGTGTGGTCAATCTGAGTTCAGGTTTGAGATTCAGATTGAGGACGCCAAGTGGCTCATCGGCGGTTACCTTGTCGATTGTTAGTGTAAAACAGAAATGGTGCGTAGTCTACCCTCAGTTGCAGTAGACGGCCACCGTTATATGAACTGCCACCAACAAGTCCCCATCGGCCACCTTAATTACCCCTTACTGTGTCTAGACGCTTAACCTGAACATTAAAGTTTTCGGTTTGTGCTACAATATCTGTCGAACGAGCTTTCTTTAGAAGAACAGCTCATTGGAGGTAAAACTCATTCCTGATTTCACTCGGGCTGCAATCTGTCGGAGCATGGGCGGAGATGACGAGAAGACATCGTTTCTCGCACTAAATTCCTTGTATTTTGATGAAATGTTCTAACGAAATAGCGCATAACCTACTGTTAATGGGGATCTAATCGAACATTACTGCCCCAGCTCTAGCGCTTAGCGCTACACCAACGCCCGTAAAACCAGACTAAGATGACACAGAGTCCTCGGATAAATGCATGTGAAACAAACTTTCCGGAACGAAAGATGGAGAGGAAATTTGTAGTACTTCACAAGAGTCCTGATTACGGGTCTTAGACAACGGACGTCGGTATTAAGACTTGTTAAAAACATAACCAACACTATCCGTTACTCGACCTGCATTAGGGTGCTAACGTCGAGGGATGCCAGTTTGAATGGCATACGTGGTTTCGGAAAGACTGGTTCATTACTCGTGGTCGGTGGTAGCATTCATCTTTTGACTAGTGAATGACCTGAGATCGTTTAGGTAGGACAGGGTTTCCTCCACAAGCGAGCCGCTGCGTAGGTTGAAGATAAAAGAATACATATGATGAGAATGAAAGGGAGTAAGCAAGTGACGTAGCATAATAGAAAAAAGAGTTTTATAAAATGATTGTGAATATGATGAGTCTAAGTGAGAATTAAAACTATACTTGTCATTCGATTTGCGTGTACTGGGGATACTGCCTGGGTGCCCAGGCTAAAAACGGTTGATTTTCCTAGGGTGCCACACTCTGGTCATTGACCTAGATGTCTAATCCATAAGGCAGTGGAGCAACGTTAGGAGATACAGTCCGATGGTTGCCTGTGACTGTGTAGTGTATGCTACTTGTGTGGACAGATATAAGTGATATATAACTACCAATCGGAAGTGGAATGCCTGGCGGCAG